CACTCCTTTCTATGTGACATTTATATATTATTGCTATGTAAATCATTAACTATATTGCTATAAACATTTATTAGTATTACTTGGTATGCTTGGTGCTAATAAAATCTGTACTTGATGAAATTGTACTTGTTCACCATGTGCATTAACAGCAGTAAATACTAAACTGCAGTTTATGTAAATAAATCAAAATTGATTTGTTTAAAAAATAAAGTAATGAATATTTATCATGTTTATGTCATCTTAAAAATGAGAAAAAGTAAAAAAATCATTACATGAGCTGGCTTGAATAGAAATCAACCTTATGCAAGTGCACGTATACATGTACATGTTATTTTATAAGACTTTTATTGATTTTGGAACATTCAAAAACGAAGAAATGATGAATTCTGGTCTGTTTTGTAGATTTTCTTATAACAGTTCATTTTTAAACAGTTACAGACTTTCCATAGAGATTTTTCTACCAGAAATAGGTTATAAGATGCATTGATATTCATTTGCATAAGGTAGATTTCTATAGGTCTGACAAAGCTCAAATGATTAAAACTGTCAGTCCTACAACATACATACAATTGTCCGTCCCCCCCCCCTTCCACAAAAAAAGGTTGGAAAGGTCAATAACCCCTGTCTCAGTCTGTTTGTTTGAGTCTTAAACCATGGAGAGAGCTATCCAGTATACTGTGGATTCATTAATATTCGTTGGATACCAATTTTCATGGATTTCATGGGTACAGGTGAACCACAAATTTGAATGTTCAACGAATTACAAATTTTCTAAAGGAATGTATGCAGACTTTGCCAAAACAACAAAATTAAATATCCACGAAAATGCAAGTTTTCTTCAATCCACGAAAATTGGTACCCACAAAAATAAATGGACCCACAGTATATGTGGAGAAAATTAAAACAATCACTTATTTAATAGTTTTAGGCCTGGGTAGCACATGAAGTAACTGCAATCTGTAAAAATAAAATGGTATTAAATTGAAAGCATCACTATCATGTGGTTCAAAGATAGCCTTGTGTTTGAAGCTTGCAATGCTTTTTTATTTTTTAATTGATAGATATTTAATTTTTTTCTTGCCAGTCTTAATGTTGTTATCTCCCTTTAAATTTTGTAATGAAATTTTTGAAGTGCAATCTAAAATTTTGCAGACATAATTAAGAAGTCCCCTAAGGCTTTTGGCTAAATTTTGTCAAACTCATAAAACAGATAATTAGAAAATAATTTGTGAACAATTTATTCAAAGGAAAGATTTAATACTAGGGAATACTGTTGAGTTTGAACGACTGCAAATTAATTATTTTTGATAAAAGTTGCTTTAAATTAATAAATTCTATTTGAAGATGTCATTATTTCAATGGTAAATTGTTATACAAATGCATGGGTAAATATTAGATTTTAATTTTCTGTCCCTTTATCAGAAGACATCAGAAGACATATATATAGAAGATATATTCTATTTATTATATAAAAATAAGAAAATGTGGTATGATTGCCAATGAGACAACTCTCCAGAAGAGACCAAATAACACAGAAATTAACAACTATAGGTCACCCTACTGCCTTCAACAATGAGCAAAGCCCACACCACATAGTCAGCTATAAAAGGCCCCAAAATGACAATTAAATGTAGAACAATTCAAACTAGAAAACTAACAGCCTAATTAATTTATGTACAAAATAATGAACAAAAAAAACAAACACGGCCTTACAGCTTACCTTGACCTATAATTGTTTACTTTTTACACATTGTGACTTGGACATGTTGGATGGAGAGTTGTCTCATTGGAACTCATGTCTCATACCACATCGTCTTATTTCTATTTACACAGCAACAAACAACAACCACTGAATTACAGGCTCAGGACAGGTACATACAGAATATGGCATGGTTAAACTAGTTTGAAGGTGCCAACCATTCCCTAACCAATGGTGTAACAGTACAACATCATGTTTACTGTATACATGTTTCTTTGTGGGTATGAGGAAGCAATATCACTAGCCTCTGACACATGGAAATCCACTGTATACATGGTTAACTTGAACTGCCATGCATGGACACATGTACAGTATTCGTCAATCGATTGAATAGACTCTTTATCGAAAACATTATCTATTCTATAGTCTATCCTAGTCAATTGAGTAACATTGTAGGACAAATCTATTTTTGTGGGGTAATTGCTACAATTTGTATTCAACTCTATCATGTCTATTCATCTACTCAATCAATTCCTTACAAATAGTTACATAGTGTTTTAAAATTCAATCAATTCTATTACTTCAGTTTACTAGGGGCATGGTCGTATATATCCTATTCAATTGATACTATAGTGCCACAGTTGATCAACTCAATTAATTCTATTACTTCAATTTACTAGGGGCACGGTCGTATATATCCTATTCAATTGATACTATAGTGCCACAGTTGATCAACTCAATAGATTATATTACTTCAATTTACTTACGGGCACCATCGTATTCAATCAATACGATCGTGCCATAGTTGATCAACTCAATCGATTTTATTACTTTCTTGTTTAAAATGAAATAGTAGTCGTTTTTTCTGTTTCTGTGCTGATTTGAAGAGTTGGATGAATTGAATTTGATTTTATTGCACCTTAAAGATTATGTACTTGCAAAATATTTTGAGTACTCATTTGTTGAAAGACGTCATAATAGCAAATTATTGACAGAAAAAAAGGAATTGTTAAGTCTCTTAAGTCAAAGCATCGTCGATTCTTTGATCCAGCCATATTTATAGCTAGTCTGATATTCTTTCTGACCATACTTTTTTCAATATTTTGTTATCTTTTTATTTCCAATCTTACTGTAAAATTTCTATGTTATTGTCCAAAGGTAGGGAATTTCACAATATTAATGCAAATATTGATATATATATATATATAGATATTTCAATTTTAGACTCTGTCAGATTTTTTTTTACAAGAATGTAAAGGGAAATCGTAAAATAAGTAATATATTTTTTTATATGCCATTAATAATAACTGGCTTAATAATTTTTAGAAAGAGGCCTTAGAAATGCAGTTTCTCAACAGCAAAAATTATAAAAAAGAATAACTATTTTTTATCTAAATTGGTGTTCATTCTTCATTAAGAAAAAATACATTTCCTGTATTCAAATTTAAATGTACAAATACCTAATGATGAGATATTTCCAATTACTGTTAAATAGCAATATAATGGGATATAAATGTAGAACAAACAAATAAATTTTATTTCAGAAAATGCTCGGGTAAGAGTTATGCAATTTTGTATATTATTTCAATAAAATTTCTGATAATTGTAACAAATTAATTAGAACTTGATTATTGACTTGTGTCGGATGATAATGACACTGATTATACAAGTGAAATAAAATTGCTTGCATTTTTTATACATATTTTTTGTCTTTTCTTTGAAAAAAAAACCCACATCTGATTAATCATTCAGCTAGCTAGCAAAATTAACAGAATATTTTAGTGTAGTGTAGATTAAAATGAATAATACATTTTTAGGATTACTATTGAGGTCAAGAATTTGTGTATTCAGTTAGGTGTGTAATAAATTGTGTCTATTTAATATGTAAGGGGTCATGAGATATTAACTGTGGTTAATTAAGCCTGGGGTCGTTTCCAATTAATACTTACACCTTTGATTGTAATATTATTTGAAAATCATGACAGTTGATACTCATACTGACTCTTACTTGCCTTTGGAAAGAATTGGAGTAATACCATTTCAAAAAAATGTGGGAATCAACTTAAGATATATTAAAATACACATGTTGACCTACATTTCATTGAACATCAACTTATACAAGCATAATAAAAATAAGGTACTAATATAATACTTTCAAAATCCTTATCAACTGATTCAATTGATGTACAAATACTTTTTCAAATTAATTCATATATGGTAAGTCATTATAAATTTTGATTTACAAAGGAACTATATGCCAATGTATATCTAAAATAAAAGGGTTGTTCGACCAATCTTTTCTTAATTTAAGAGCAAAAAACATGTCAAAAATTTGCAGTTGATGATTAAAATGGTGTAGAAATTTTCTGCAAGTCATAAAAACACATCATTAGTTTCATGATATGTCTTCAACTTAGTATTCTGCACCATCTCCTAAACCAGAGTGATCACATAGATCCAGCATGGCTGAATCAAAAAACCTCAGTCCTGTAAGATTTCCACTGCTTTTTTTTTGGCAAAATAGGTGATAATTGAGTACTCTATGCAATTTTGGTACTGTGAAGTTTGAAGGAACAAATTTGTCCAAATAATTAAGACGTCTTGAAAGGCTAATTTCATTCTTTGATGTGACGTTGTAGGAAGGCGTCACAGCAAAGAATTAAAATAGCCTGTCACTTTCAAGACATCATAAATTATGACATAATTTTTTGGACTAGGAACAAATTAGCTGCGGAACCGTAGCTCTTAGGTCTTTTTGAAATTTTTTGACAATTTGCGGACCATTGACACGCAAAAATCAAAAAAAAATATAATAAGGACCATTAGAATTTGAAATCCCTAACAGTTCATGCATATCTTAATGAAAATGTCTATAGATGGCTGGTAAAGTCTTGAATTTTCCATACTTTGTAAAACTTGTGGTCACAGGGAGACAACTCATTATTAAAAATGGTTTTTGACATGATATGGAAGGAAGGCTGAAATAAAATAAAATTACTGATAAAAAAATCAAAGCTAACAATTAAACTAACATTGACTACTGTGTGAAATCTTCTTAATCGTTGCAGTTTTGTGTATTGACAATGTTTGTGTTTCTTTCGTTACTTGTGGAAATTCGTACGACCAAACTATGGGAGTCGTAAAAGTAATTTTTTTTCAAATCTTAGTTTGTTGAAATAATCATAACAAAATATTATTTTGTCTTAATCTCTCGAAAATCTAGTATTTCATTATTTCAAATAAGGTATAATCAAATTTTAAAGTCGTAAATATCATTTTTGCGGTAAATAAATTTTGGCGCTAAAATTTGTAAACAAAAAATTTATACGATGCCAGGAGAAGAAAAAGAACACATTTATGATGCAGCTTCATTACCAGATTTGTTGCCCATTTATTACAAAAGATTATTTCCTTATGGACCATATTTTAAATGGCTCAACTATGGTGGAGGTATGTTTTTTCGGCAGTTGCAAAATTTTACAACAAATTTGCATCTTCACTGCTTCAGGTTTCACAAATAGTTTATCTCTTTCCACACATTCTGCCATTTGGCATGTTCTACAGGGGTGAAGTTATGGTTATTTTTTACTAACACCACAGAGTAAATAACATTTATTTAATAAATTTCACTTACTTGGATATTATTAAAAGGATAGTAGCCAAGATTTTCATTAAAATTATTTTTCTAATCTATATGCATGATATGCAGGATTTTGTACTAAAGGTTTATTTAGAATGAATAAAACCATCACTGTTTACTTTCCAATTAGCATTTAGAAGCTTTTTAACGTTTTACACCTGAATTTAATTTTTGTCTGTACAAAAATTCGATGTTAAACCAACCCTTATTCATATGACCTATGTTGACCTTAACTCCGCAGTTCCCAATGCGCAATCGCAAGTTGTCCCTTGAAGGGAAAATGTTGAACACAGGAATGTTATCGCGGAAATGGAACGTGTGTTTACAGTTTCTGCAAGAAAAAGAAACAGTAAAGAGGTGCAGACAAGTTATTGTAAATTAAAATAAATAACCGCGATGAGATCGGTTATTAGAATCAATTTACAAACACCTGTCACGCAGATAAAGTCTATATATAAGTAGTGGACATTACGACGGTTTGCAAAATGTAAAAAAAATTTCCAGATCACATGAAAATAAATCGTGACGTGTTCAAATCATTATTGTCCAAAATATCTTTATAAATTTAAGAGCAGTGATCTCACAACTTAGAAGACATTAAAAATAAACTTCTTACAATTTAATATTATTCTTCCGGTGAACCCTGCATGAAGGCCCCAATTCAATTCACAAACACGTGGATACGTTATCGGCATTGATTTGTCATACAAATATAAAACAAGTGTATAATATCGCCATTGTTAGAGAACATTGGGTTCGAATAATATCCAGAGATTTAGTATATTTTGTTGTTTACATAATTAGATAAATGGTTTCAAATTTGTACGTTTAATCTAAAGAAATTAATCAAATACGCAAGAAAACAAAAGCACATGTTCATATTTATTTATATCCTGGTCATCTCACTCGCTGTGTCAGCAAAGTTCGGGAAGTAAACCCGATGCATAATTAATGAGATGAAAAGGCACGCTACACAATATTAATTATCAAATATTAACACTTCTGTACTTTATAAACACATTCCAGCGATCTTATTGTTAATTTTAAGTACATATCTTTGATTTTAGCAGCTTTGAAACTTGGTCATAAATTTGTCAAAATCGTAGCTACTATCCCTTTAAGGAAGAGGGAAGGTACCATTTCAGAAGAATCAAAACTGATGTAAGTTGCAGGGTTTCCCCTGGGTCAATTTTCTTTTTCGCCACTTTCAAATTTATTTTTTTTGCCAACTTGCATAAATTTTTCATTTTAAATTTCCTACTTGCTAACAAAAAAAATCAGATTGCATCATTGTTGTCTATTCTTTTATAATTCCACATCATAAAACTATGTTCCGAAAACCTGTGTCGTTACAACGATTGTGAACTACCCACTTCTAAACAATTATTTCTATAAAAGTGGCAAAAAATCCTGTAGGTGACATGTGAAGCCATTTAACCACCCAATTTCATTGAACACTAAAATCAACCCATTGTTGCTGATAGCTATATAAAAATGCAATCAGCTGATCATTGATTTTCTGTCTAAATCGTAACACTTGAGGAGGTCAAGGTGAAATCCCAGTATTGTCTGATCTGGGAATAGATATGAGAAACCCGAAAAATATAACCAAGATGGACAACAAACCATTATATTTCTTTCTTCAAAGTCTTTTCGCCGATAAAGAATTTTAATGATAAATCACCACAATCTATATTTTTTCCCAAAATGCGAAAATGGTGACAGCCAGTGGAAACCCTTAGTCGTATATATAGAGACCAACGAAAACATATAGCTACAATCAATGAGAATTAACTACAGTGAGTCTGCAAAATTCTACAGAAAAACGACACCTTAAGACTGGGCAACTTAAATCCTACCAAAACCTTGGGGTTTATATCAGGTGCTCTGAAAAGATAAGTATATCCTACTCCACATGTGTAGTTCATGGTATGATATGTACAAAATTGGTATGCAGTGTCAATTCTGTGATGTATTAATCAAGGAAAAAAGGACGTCCTTGGCTAACATAAAATGGCCACCTCGTCAGTACATGTACCATTACTTCAACTGGTTCTAAAGTGAAGATTTGTAATAAAAAAATATTACATGAACATGATGTAAAACTGGAAACCAGTGTTTTATTATTATTTGAAAAAACACCCAACTTTGCAGGAATATATCACAACAACCCGTTCTTATTGGTATGAAATAGTTAGAACTTTGACCAGGCAGAACCAGTGTTCTCCCCAGGATTTTTGGATAGCACCAGGGTAACGTGTGTCAAAATGATTTGTACAATATGTTGTGTCGCGTTGCATCGCTTATTTTTTCTTTCTTGTTAGTTTTTGTGTCATTACCTTTTTGTCTTTTGTTTTGTTTACTGTGTTATGTAGACTTTGGGTCAAAAAATTAAAAGAAGTAAATCAATAAACAGTTTGTATACTTTAATTTCTTTAAAGAATAAATAAAAGAAAGCACTATTAGTCTTTAAACTAAAGTAAGTTTTTAGCTCACCGGGGCCCCTTTGGGCCCCATGTGAGCTTATGACATCACTTGGCGTCCGTCGTCGTCTGTCGTCGTAAAGTATTTAAAAAATCTTCTACTCTGAAACTACTGGGCCAAATACCTTCAAACTTTAATTAAATGTTCCTTAGGGTATCTAGTTTATAAATTGTATCCAAAGTTTTGATCCATCGACAAACATGGCCGCCATGGCTAAAAATAGAACATAGGGGTCAAATGCAGTTTATGGCTTATATCTCAAAAACTAAAGCTTTTAGAGCAAATCTGACATGGGGTCAAATTGTTCAATTGGTCAAGATCTATGAGCTCTGAAATTTTCAGACGAATCGAACAACCCATAGTTGGGTTGCTGCCACCGAATTGGTAGTTTTAACAAAATTTTGCAGTTTTTTGTTATTATTTTGAATAATATTATAGATATATATATAAACTGTAAGCAGCAATAATGTTCAGCAAAGTAAGATCTACAAAAAAGTTAATATGACCATAATTGTCAATTGACCTAAGGAGTTATTGCCCTTTAAAGACAATTTTACACAATTAGTTCATCAAGTTCATGAAGTTTGCTAACATTTAAAAATCTTCTCCTCTGAAACTACTGGGCCAATTACCTTCAAACTATAACTAAATGTTCCTTAGGGTATCTTGTTTATAAATTGTATCCAAAGTTTTGATCCATCGACAAACATGGCCGCCATGGCTAAAAATAGAACATAGGGGTCAAATGCAGTTTTTTGCTTATATCTCAAAAACTAAAGCTTTTAGAGCAAATGTGACAGGGGTTAAATTGTTTAATTGGTCAAGATCTATCGGCCCTGAAATTTTCAGACGAATGGAACAACCCATTGTTGGGTTGCTGCCACCTAATTGGTAGTTTTAACAAAATTTTGCAGTTTTTTGTTATTATTTTGAATATTATTATAGATATATATAAACTGTAAGCAGCAATAATGTTCAGCAAAGAAAGATCTACAAAAAAGTTAAATGACCATAATTGTCAATTGACCCCTTAAGGAGGTATTGCCCTTTAAAGACAATTTTACACAATTTGTTCATCAAGTTTGCTAACATTTAAAAATCTCCTCTGAAACTGCTGGGCCAATTACCTTCAAACTTTAAATAAATGTTCCTTATAAGGGTATCTTGTTTATAAATTGTATCCAAAGTTTGTATCCATCGACAAACATGGCCGCCATGGCTAAAAATAGAACATAAGGGTCAAATGCAGTTTTTGGCTTATATCTCAAAAACTAAATCTTTTAGAGCAAATGTGACATTTGGTAAAATTGTTAAATTGGACAAGATCTTTCGGCCCTGAAATTATCAGACGAATCTAACAACCCATTTTTGGGTTGCTGCCACCGAATTGGTAGTTTTAACAAAATTTTGCAGTTTTTTGTTATTATTTTGAATATTATTATAGATATATATAAACTGTAAGCAGCAATAATGTTCAGCAAAGTAAGATCTACAAAAAAGTTAAATGACCAAAATTGTCAATTGACCCCTTAAGGAGTTATTGCCCTTTAAAGATAATTTTACACAATTTGTTCATCAAGTTTGCTAACATTTAAAAATCTTTTCCTCTGAAATACAGGTGAGTGATTCAGGCTCTTGAGAGCCTCTTGTTATATTTTGATCAAGCCAATTTTGTCCTGATACTTGTAGTTACACTACACATTCCCCGTTTTTGTTAGATTACACCATAATTAAATTTAAACAAGATTAAATTTTAATGCAGAACCTTAAGTAAATTATAAACTATTTTCCATAGCTTTAGACATGATTCTTTTGAACAACAATAAATTTATTATTAGAATCATTATTGTGAAGAATGAAGAGTAAATTTATAATATCTATCTGTACACCCATATATCATATCTAGCTGAGTTCCAATCAGAGTCTCAAGACTGGGACTACTTTATCACAAATCATTTCTATTTTCAATGATAGATAATATTTTAGGAGCACACATTTGTAATAAGCTAAATCAGGGGAAGTAACTCAAAAATTAATTTCTAACACGTTTAAAATACGCAAATTATTTATACGCAAATTATTTATGACTAAAGGCTGGAGTAATAAGGTTAATTAACAAATGTCTGCTTGTCCTTCACAAGTCTGATCATTAATTATGATCTCTTAATTAATTAATTAAAACACAAAAGAATCATGTACATGTACATCGATTAAATCCAATCATCAAGGTTAACCTCAAAAGGTAAATCGATCACGTGGTGTAAACAATCTAGTTGTCAGAACTGAATTGAACTGGTTTAAACTGGTCAATTTTCGTCTGAAATTTACAAGTCGTTTAAAATTTTACCGATTTACAATTTTTTTACCGAAAATTTTAGCAACAGGGAGAAAAATTATACATCACCATGATCGCGGCAAAAACAATACCACCACGGTAGAAAATTAAACATCGAGGGCCAGCAGTCCTTTAAGGGCTGGGGAGAACACTGCAGAACATTAAATTGGCATACCTGTTTAAATTTTGGTGGTAAGGACTAATAAGTCCGTCAATTGTCCTGAAAACTTATTCATACATTTTGGAGAGGGAGTTTTTTCCATCACTTGTTGTCTGTTGATAAAATAAAATATATTCTGAAACTACATGGCAGTTTTCATTTCATCAACTTAATCACAATCATCCATGGGGTGAATAAGTTTCTGCTGTTTCTATAAATAGATTGAGCACTTAATAAACAGAACAGACGTAAGTATTCAGTGTAAATTTTTTTTTTTTTTACAGTGCCAAAGAATTATTTTTGCAATAGAGAGTTTTCCTTCACATTGAAGGATGATGTTTACATTAGATACCAATCATTCAGTGATCAGCAAGAATTGGAAAAAGAAATACAGAAAAGATGTCCATACAAAATAGATATTGGTGCTGTGTTTACACACAGGGTATGTATCAATGGAAAAGAATATCAGAAAAAGGCCATATGAAATAGGTATTGGTGCTGTGTTTACACACAGGGTATGTATCAATGGAAAAGAATATCAGAAAAAGGCCATACGAAATAGGTATTGGTGCTGTGTTTACACACGGGTATGTACATTGTATCAATGGAAAAGAATATCAGAAAAAGGCCACATGAAATAGGTATTGGTGCTGTGTCTACACACAGGGTATGTATCAATGGAAAAGAATATCAGAAAAAGGCCATATGAAATAGATATTGGTGCTGTGTTTACACACAGGGTACACTACAAACCAGTAAAAGTCTGAAATGGCCTATATTTGTACTCGACTGAACTGATTTTTACTCGACCAGTCTGAATTGGTCTGAAATTTACTTGATATTACTCGACTGTAGTCTGAGCCATACTAAACAGTCTGAACTTGTACTCGACCTTTACTCGACCAGTACTTAACCATTTTATACGAGTCTGAACCATACTCGACATAGTCTTAACCATTCTCGACCAAGTCTGAACCATGCTCGACCTAGTCTGAACCATACTCGACCTAGTCTGAACCATACTCGACCAAGTCTTAACCAACCTAGACCTATTTTTTGTATCTATCTATATTATATTTTCATTAATTTAGGAACTGTTATTCATATATATATATATATAAAATGTATATCACATTTAAAATTAAAATAAAACAAGGTGATCAATTTCTGGTTGGATTAAAAAAATATCATGTAATAAATTAAGTTCGTTAAATGAATTTTCATATACATGATATCATGTTCACATTGATTTATGCATCAAAAATACTATAACTTTCAACCATTATTCAAATATCTTAAATGTTATTCAATTTTTTTTTTATCAAAATATATATAAAATAGTAAATAAAGCAACTTAATAAATGTTAGAATTGACACCTTTGTTTTGTAAAATCAAAAATTTAATATAATAATAATAATAAAACTTTCATCTTTTTATCCTTGATAACCTTTTAAAAAAGGAAATGTATTCCAAAGTTGCAGTAGAAATTTATTTTAATTAAATTTAAATACGTTTTGTCAAAATTAAAGACATGGCATACAAGAAGCAGTTTAATAAGGTTTAATGGTTTAATTACCTCAGTACAGGTGTTTTACAGGTAAAAAGAAAACCATATTTTTCTTAAACTCGTGTATTACTTATCTAGTGAATTCAAAGGCCTTGTTATTTAAGTTTTACAGGATGTTGTAATTTTCAATGGATGTTATTTAAAATTTATTACTCTCTGACCAGGTGTGATCTTTTTAATCAGTGTGCGTCAAGCAGGATGTATTACTTTATAGTTTACCCCTAATCAGAAGAAAAATTTTATTCATTTCTTGAATTTTTTATCCCTTTTAAAATATATATATATATCCCAAATTATGAATAGGAATAGATATATTTCTGATATAAGGTTAAACAATGTCAGTGATTTTGTTGGCTGTTGTTACCTCATTAAAAAGATAGTTATATAACTATTGTATATAACCATGAAACCTTAGTACAGAAAGTCACAGGACAAAAAGTCACAGGACAGAAAGTCACAGGACAGAAAGTCACAAATTTGATAGGACAAAAAGTCACAAATAATTTGTATACAATTGATTGAATATTTATGAGAAAGATCTTGAAATGTTTACTTTTTATGACACATATTCATTTTACAGTTTAGGAAATTGTTCATAAGACTTAATTTGATAAATAAAGATTTATAAAATTTTAATCATGCAAAGGATATATTTCTTGGCACCATGAAGCCATTTAAGTACCAAGACATTGTAACATTTTGTTTTCTTAACAATTATTTGATCATTATTGATATTGTTTCAAGAAAAATACAAAAATGTTTTTTTAAAAATAAGTGTTCTATTGTTCAAAGAAAAATAACCTCAAAACTGAATTGTGACTTTTTGTCCTGTGACTTTCTGTCCTACATTCGTTTTTATTTAGGAATTTAGGAAAATCAAGTTTTGTTTTAAAAAAAAAACACATGCCAAACAAATAGCACCTTATTTTTAATAAGGTTTTATTACCCTCAGTATAGGTGTGGTTTTCAGGTAAAAAAAGTCTTTTATTTAACAAGTTTCAGACTTTAAAATTTGATAATTTAACTATCTCGATTTGCCAAATCTAAGAGAATCATGTATTATTAAAGAATGTAAAAAATGTTTTTATATATATCTTTATTTAATTGTGGCTGTTGTCATGTAAGTTAAAGAGAAAGTTATTTAAACAATCAAAATTATAAAGAAGAGGTTATTTGGTCAAGTATGGTTCAGACTGGTCGAGTATTGTTCAGACCTTTGGTCGAGTATGGTTCAGACTGAAAAAATAGGTCGAGAGCTGGTCGAGTACTGGTCCAGACTGGGTTAAGACTGTTTCAGACTGGTCGAGTAATAGATTAGACTATTTTCAATAGCAAAGATAAGGGTCAAGTACAAATCAGTACAGTTGAGTATGGTTAAGACTGGGTCGAGTAATATTAAGTAAAATTCAGACCAATTCAGACTGGTCGAGTAAAAATCAGTACAGTCGAGTACAGATATAGGCCATTTCAGACTTTTACTGGTTTGTAGTGGTATGTATCAATGGAAAAGAATATCAGAAAAAGGCCATATGAAATAGATATTGGTGCTGTGTTTACACACAGGGTATGTATCAATGGAAAAGAATATCAGAAAAAGGCCATATGAAATAGGTATTGGTGCTGTGTTTACACACAGGGTATGTATCAATGGAAAAGAATATCAGAAAAAGGCCATATGAAATAGGTATTGGTGCTGTGTCAGAGGCCAATTTAGAGGGGGCCCAGTCCCCCTTTTCTGGGAAAAATTTTGATGATTATATAGAGAATCACTGAAGCATGACAGGAGCGGGCCCCCTCTTTGGCAGTCAGTGGGCCCCACTTATAAAAATTTCTGGATCCGCCACTGTGTGTTTACACACACGGTATGTATATCAATGGAAAAGAATATCAGAAAAAGGCCATATGAAATAGGTATTGGTGCTGTGTTTACACACAGGGTATGTATCAATGGAAAAGAATAGAAAAAGGCCATATGAAATAGGTATTTGTGCTGAGTTTAAAGGTTATATATATATATATATATATATATATTGAGAAGAAAATCAGAAAAAAAGGCCATAAAAGATAGATATTTGTGCTTTTTACCCACTCAATACAATGTACATGTATGTATGTAAGATAAATTGGTGTTGTGTACAGTTCACAGACATGGCTACTGTAAACCAACTAATTTTCATGAGCTATTTATTTTTGAGACCTACAATGTAAATGCTTAAAGAATAGAAAAATAACACAAATCTTGATCGAGAAAATATCAAACTTGGTTATTATTTTTTTTTATGTTATTTATCATGTTTATTTGTTTTTATACACGTTTTATCTTATCTTAAATATATTTATATGAGGTTTAAAAAAATCCTTCTGTTACCTCTAAATATGACACGCCTCCCTCGCACGGTGATCCAATCAGATTACCTTTTTCTTGGTAAGTAGGACATGTAGGACAGGGGCGTAGCTGGACTTAAATAAAGTGCAATCATAACGATTGCCGAGCGAAGCGAGGCGTACATTTTTTTTGGACCATTTTATGCAGAAAATGATAACTGTTTTCGGGCATTTTCCCGGTATGCCATGCTTATGAAATTCACATCACATTCACGCCCAAACTCCTATTTTGTGAATACTTGTGGACTTTATAGTGATTCGGCAAGGGATGAGGCTATGGACCGCCCAAAGTCCCCAGCTGGTCCAGGATAGCACCCTAGTCGGGGATTCAGGGCAGCACCGTAGACGGTGGTCTAGGGAAGCGAATCCCCATGAAGCTCCGGGCATATGAGTGATTACAGTGACTGCTTTGAACATGAAAAATACCCTATCTGTTTCTTACTATACCATATTTTCATGAAACGATAGTAAAAGTCTAGTGAGTTCCGTAATTTGCTGCTTATATCATTAACATGGTTATTTTCAAATATAAAAAAAAAATTATAAAACGGGAAGATCAGGAAGAGTCGACAACCGAAGCGTTAATCAATGAACAATTGACAAACCTGGGAACAGATAAGACACAAAAGGAGAAACAAAAACATTCAACATTGAAAACTAAATACAGATGAAAAACACGGACCCAGAAAACAATGTGGCGACCTCCGGTGCTCCGGCCAAAAGGGTAAGCAGTTCCTGCTTCTTGCAAGACACCCGTAGTGTGTCTCACGAAGGTCATTCTCAAATCAAAGGAGAGGTTTCTACGACAACGGTAGAAGGTCATTTGGGACAAAGATACCCCAGGTGAATCAATAGTCTTTTGGACGAACGGACAATGGGAATACGAAATCTAACGGCCACTTTTAAGTCTTGACTTATAAGTAAGGATATAAATCTAAGATGTTTACAAGGTGATTGTATTGAGCCTGTATTATTAAATGTTAATACTGCATGTAAGACTTAAAGTATAGTTAATATCGAAAGTCCATATATCTATTTTTTGCCAAGGCAAATGATCGCAGAACTTTCTCGGTGTTATTAATATCCATTTCTTTGTGAACATGTATGAGCGCCAACGAAGATAGTCTGTCCTGTACCATGGTTGAACGGAGATAAGTTTTCGGTCGCCTTAATGCACTAAATGACCGTTCAGTAGTTGATGTAGTTACTGGCATTGTAATTAGAATTAAGAAGATTGCGAATATTGAAGGATATATAGTTCCTTGTTAGTCACTGCTACAGACGACATCAAAGATTTGGGCTTTAAACACCGCCCGACACGATAATCTGTAAAGACTAAAGACTATCCGTAATTCAATTTCAGAATATTTTTTTTTTGGTGAAAAAAATGTGCAAGCAAATGATTTTTTGCGTAAAGGCAGCTACGCGCCTGTAGGATAAATGATCTTTCTCTTTTATGAATGCACAAACATAGTAAGAAAATGACGAAAATAAATCACCTAGGGAGAGATCAATGCATTAAAAAGTATCCTTTAAAATAAGTTGGCTAACAGTATAATCAGGGCTCATGCATATATGTTTTCCATTTCCTGTCCATCACTTTTTCATTCCGAACTGCAGAAAACATAATCACCACCATCCCCTCTGTAATTTTCAGTTGCTATATAACCACAATTTTAATTGATAGATTTATTATTTATTATATGCACATCATTGATTTGGTCATATTGTGGTATACTGTAGTCCAAACAAACAAACAACAGTTCATCTGCCCCTTTGTCAACATGTTGTACACTTACTCAAATTTTGCTTTAATCAATTCTCAAGAAATTTTAACAGCACTACGATTGACGTGGAAATATCTCTTTCAATTTTGAAAATCATTTGGTTTGTAGTTTCAGGGTTACCAGACTTTAATCATCAGATTTAAAGCAATTTTTCACATATATCACAAGTTTCCTTTGATCAATTTATTTAAAACTGTATGCTGTTGTTGTATAACTAAAACACTGAAATCGTCAATTGATATAAATGATAAATGTTTCAGCCGAAAGACCATAAAACAGTGAAACCAGCAGCATTCCAGGCTCAAGAGAAAGAACTGGTGTTTGATATAGATATGACGGATTACGATGATGTCAGATTTTGTTGTTCGTGAGTACTTAATGGGTATATTTAGGAGGGTCTGGATGTGGTTTACAGAATATAAAATAATGGGTAAAAGAAAAGAATATAGAAAATTTAGGTAAAGAAAATAAAGAATATAGAATGATATATAGGGTTCTAAAATATAATTAATACAGAATAATGGGCAAAAAAATTAAAGAATACAGAAATTAATAAACCCTTCTAGACCACCATTTATCCTTAAGAGATGTAGTGCTGTGGCATGAGCACCTCATAAATTGGATAATGAAAATGAAATAGAAATCATTAGATCTTTTTAAAATGCCAATTATAATTAGAAAATTTTGCTAATGCTGCCATGCCTCAAGTATAATATTAGCATCGAATTATGTTACAAATCTCATTCAAAAAGGACAGATTTCTAAAGTGACAATTTTCAGACAAAGACAGAAACATAGTCCTGAAGGATCATACAAGACTCTGAAGTTCAAAGATATTGTCACTAAAAAGTAAACTATAACATTGTGCTGAAAAAGGGTAAAATTTGCTTAGAATACACATAAAAAGTTACATCTAATAAAAACAACCACTATTAAGCACATTGTTTCAACATGTGCATTTCAAAAATTGTCTGTCTTGTTCTTTTAGTCTTGTTTTGTAAATTTGTTTTTTGTATCCCAAGAGGGCAAAACAGTAATGTCATTTCTGATTACATTGATATGTTCGTACCATAAATACAGGAAATAGGCATGTAATAAGTTCCACCAAACATTAATCAGTCTGCCATCCATCCATTTTAAGGATGACTTCAACTTTACCATGATCTATACTAATCACTTATCACAAAGTATTCTCTGCTACTGCTGGACTTATTTGCTTTGAGATGATTATCACGATGATACTGTGGATTCATTTATTTTTGTGTTTACCAACTTTCATTGATTGAAGAAATAATGTATTTTTACGGATACTTAATTAGGTGATTTTTGCTGAAGTTTGAATACAGGCCTAAAAGAAATTTGATACTTCGTTAAACATTTAAATTCATAATTCACATAGTTCATATTAATATATATAGACCTATGAAACCTACGAAAATTGCTTCCCAATGAATAATAACGAATCTAAAGTATGTCCAAATTGATATTAATTCTGATCAGAAAATTATCTCTTAAACATCTTTTGGTTTATTGTTTCATTGGGTTGCAGTCTCATTGACATGTATCTCATGTCTCGTTTAAAAAAATCTATCGTTTTGTTTTATTTTTTCAGAGGAGCAGATATTTGTCCAAAATGCTGGCCATTGATGCAGATCGCCATTAAAATTGTAAATCGAGCATTGAGAGGTGAGGAGTTAGGCTCTTTCCTTCACAAGTATGTTATGTAGATCAGATTGAATAGTTTCAACTTTGAAAATGCTTGACTTATATATTGACTTGACTGTTAAAATAGTAAGTCAAGCATTTTTGTTTCGCCAAATGGGAAAAAGCTGACTTAACATGCTGTTTGGGTGTTTCTGGCATCTTTGGCATCAATAAATGTTCCGAGTTCAAGTGTAACTACCAAGACGATTCTCAGTGTTTTTAGTTTATAAATTTAAAAGATATACTGGTTTGGATTCAGTTTTTCAGTGAAGGCATAAATTAATTTATCTAAATGTTTAAAATGTTTAAATCCTATACTTGTAGTTAAATCATCTGGACAGTTCTTGAAAAGTATCAGTTGAGATCATTTGACCATTACATGCATTAGAAATTTAAAAATGTGTCTCATATGTTGTCTCATTTCATTTAAGATAGTCTCTTACCTGCAAACTTTTCAAAATCTCCATGGGGGATTTTAAAGAGCATGAGGACCTAATGCTCCCCTTATATTGTCATAAGATTTCTTAATCTTCTACTTTATTGTTTGAATGAGTAAACATGTATATCATGTGCTTAAATACCCTTTTAACTCATTTGAATGCCTGTTTTGAGGTGTTTAGTTTACATAATAAAGAATTTCAAAATTCAGGTCAACACCTCTCATGGGGGGTATCCCCCACAAATCGGGATAGTTGGCAGGTGTGTAGTCTTAAAATATCTATTGATCTTCACAATGAATAAGTAATAAATTGTTCTCTATGTTGATTAAGTTTTTCACTTTGGACATATGCATAATTTAAGTGAAGAAGATTGGCAATACATGTACTTTATATAGGAAATCCATTTTGATGGCAGATTTTTTTATACGCTTTTGTAAAGGGATATATAAGTGTGGTAAGGATAGTATGAGGCACCAGTATTGTCTATTATTTTAAATTATGAATAAACATGAAATAGAAAGATTTATCTTTAATGAAACATTGACATTTTGTCTAAAAATTAAAAGTTGACAAATATTTTGGGTTTCATAAAAATTATAGGGCTAGGAAACGTTATATATAGCATAGGGTTTGACAAACCAAATATTCAAATCAGATTTATTGTTTGTTCTCATGGTTAAAACAAACATATAAAATGTAACAAGATTTTTTTGTGCTATATGTTTGGGTCCTGAAAACCAATGAAAATTGTCCTGTTTACATTGAATGTGGTGGAAAATTGATGCAAATTGTGACGTAACATGAAGAAAGCTAAAATGTAAATTTTCAATAATAGACATATTTGAAAAATATATTATTCTTTGTTTGTTAAAAACAACAACTATTATGAAGTTTATTAAGTGTCACAATGTAAATATGTTTGTTTTGCTATAGCATGTAACTAACGGCTTTGCAATAAAGAATTCATTCATTCATTATATACCTGACTTGGAACAAACATTTTCTTCAGAAAAGTAATTGATTTTATTTTGTTTTGTAGAAGATTTTGGTTTTAAGCACTTGTTTTGGGTATACTCAGGCAGACGAGGTGTCCATTGCTGGGTATGTGATGAGACAGCAAGGAAACTTTCACAGACAGGAAGATCAGCCATTGCTGAATATTTGAGTGTTGTCAAGGTATTGTAATAAAATTAATATAAAAATAAGGAGATATTGTATGATTGCCTAGGAGACAACTATCCAACATGGACCAAAGGATTTGGATTGAAGCAAATATAGGTCACCATACAGCAAAACCCATACTGTATAGTGTGTTTAAGTCGTTACAATCATTGCAGTTAAGTGTTGCATTCCATAAATTATTCTTAAATGGTTTACAGGAATTAGATTCATCAACAAACATGACAATTGTTACTCAAAAGAACAGAGTAGGCAGCATATATTTTTAGGCACTCTCCACTAGGTGAAGGGGGCATTAAAAGAGGGACAAAAGATACTAGAGAGACAGTCAAACTTACAGATCGAAAACAAACTGACAACGCCATGGCCAAAAATAAAAAGACAAACAGACAAATAATAGTACAGATGACACAACATAGAAAACTAAAGACTAAGCAAATTAAGTGTTATCCTTGACCTTACATCCGTCTGTCTGTCCCATTTTCATTTCCACACACTAACTAAATTTTTCTCATCTAAATTTTATGAGACTCATACACAGTGCTAAGAACCAAAACTTGCAGACAGAGTTCGAATTTGGGCAGTGAGTCACTTATCGTTTTATCAGTCAGGGGTCTTACTTAAATGAGTGATTTTCTAAATCACTGATTCAAGTAACATTATGTCCATAAAGGTTGGAAGTAAGAGTTGTCTTTCTTTAATAATCACCTATTTAAGTAGTACAAATTAATCACTAGACTAAGTGATTTAATTTTATTGTAGCTTTAAATATAGAATACTAATGACCCAGGGACTAATTATGTTGCTAAAATTATCAGAACCAACATCTGTGTTGATAGGATGACCGGGTCATGTCAGGTTATGACCTTGTACTAAATTTAGGATAATGACATAAAAATCACTTGTTTAAGTATCATACCTCAATTTCCTTCCAAAAAATCAGTTCTTTAAGTATCATTATTTTAATAACCCCCACTAATTTAACACCCCTGAACAGTGAAATTTTGATCACAAACAGTAGAATTTTATTACATAATCTATAAGATGAAAACTTGAATTTTACAGGAAAAATACTCCCACTGCTGAGAAAAATCTGTTAAGAAAGTATCAGTTCATTATGTAAAGCCATTTTTATAGCATTTTTTCAACTAAAATAGAATTTGCAGCTAAAAAATTGCATCAAAGGCATAAACCTTGCTGCTTAAAAGAAGCAAAAAGTTCATTTTTTTCAATTTTACTAATGAAAAGATATTATCTAAACCTATGTGTTTAAAATTTTGGTAAAACTACAAAAGCACGATTTGTGACAAAACTTCGAATTTGCTACTTAAATAAGTGATTTAAGTCCCCTGACTGTCTATAGTAATTCCCCTTATAACTTAGAAAATTGCTAATTTTTTCGTTTACACACTCTTAAGTTTGCCCCATGCAAATTTTATGAAACTCATGCACAATGCTAAGACCTAAGACTAGAACAATAGAACTCCTTAAAAACTAGCAGTGACATCAGATGCCCTCTAAATGTATTTTCACATATAAATATCATGTCCTCATCACATTCTTCTTTTCTTTTGGTTTATATCTCCAAAATTATTAGAGTGGGTAAACCAGAATGCCATTACATACAGGCTCTTGTGAGCCTCTAGTTAATATCTGATTAATATTTGCATTCAAATGTATACCATTTCTTCTTTCCTGACTTTCCTTGGATATACTTATATATCTAACAGGAGTACTCATTCTGAACCAGAGATATACTTTTCAACTTTATGAACATGTATCTGTGAAATAAATATTTCTATCATTTCAGGGTGGAGAAAACCAATCAAAGAAAGTAGCACTAGAAAGTCCCATTCATCCTTCTATAAGGTAAATAGAAAGAAAGTAGCATTAGTAAGTCCCATCCTTCTGTAAGGTAAATAGAAAAAGAGAAGCACTAGAAAGTCCCATTCATCCTTCTATAAGGTAAATAGAAAGTAGCACTAGTAAGTCCCATTCATCCTTCTATAAGGTAAATAGAAAGAAAGTAGCACTAGTAAGTCCCATTCATCCTTCTATAAGGTAAATAGAAAGAAAGTAGCACTAGAAAGTCCCATTCATCCTTCTGTAAGGTAAATAGAAAGAAAGAAGCACTAGAAAGTCCCATTCGTCCTTCTATAAGGTAAATAGAAAGAAAGTAGCACTAGAAAGTCCCATTCATCCTTCTATAAGGTAAATAGAAAGAAAGTAGCACTAGAAAGTCCCATTCGTCCTTCTATAAGGTAAATAGAAAGAAAGTAGCACTAGAAAGTCCCATATATTCTATAAGGTAAATAGAAAGAAAGTAGCACTAGAAAGTCCCATTCATCCTTCTATAAGGTAAATAGAAAGAAAGTAGCACTAGAAAGTCCCATTCGTCCTTCTATAAGGTAAATAGAAAGAAAGAAGCACTAGAAAGTCCCATTCATTCTTCTATAAGGTAAATAGAAAGAAAGTAGCACTAGAAAGTCCCATTCATCCTTCTATAAATAAGGTAAATAGAAAGAAAGTAGCACTAGTAAGTCCCATCCTTCTATAAGGTAAATAGAAAGAAAGTAGCACTAGAAAGTCCCATTCATTTATAGAAGGTAAATAGAAAGAAAGAAGCACTAGAAAGTCCCATTCATCCTTCTTGAAGGTAAATAGAAAGAAAGAAGCACTAGAAAGCCCCATTCATCCTTCTTTAAGGTAAATAGAAAGACATACATGTGATGGACTGTGAAACTCAGATCAGGAGATTGAGAAATTTTGGTCAGGAGATTAGGTCTCAGATCAAGAGGTTTTAAATCGACATAAATTTTGTCGTAAATGTAACCGTGTGCTGTAGAAATTGTCTTTTAAAGTGTGTTTTCTTCAACTTTCCATCCGAATGTATTATGTTTATAGTACCCTTGTACTTATAAAGTTTCTCTTTCTTTATTCAACATGTTCAATCTAACATTCTTTTTTTAGTATGTTCTTTAAATATTTTATTTCATATCTTTTTTATCATTATTCTTTAGAACAATCATTGCATTCAGAACAATTGTTTAACTTTCTGCTTCTGCAAATAGAGCTTAAGGTAAATAGAAAGAAAGTAGCTCTAGAAAGTCCTGTTCATCCTTCTATACGGTAAATAGAAAGAAAGTAGCACTAGTAAGTCCCATTCATCTTTCTATAAGCTTTAAGGTAAATAGAAAGAAAGTAGCACTAGTAGGTCCCATTCATCTTTCTATAAGCTTTAAGGTAAATAGAAAGAAAGTAGCACTAGAAAGTCCCATTCGTCCTTCTATAAGGTAAATAGAAAGAAAGTAGCACTAGAAAGTCCCATTCATCCTTCTATAAGGTAAATAGAAAGAAAGAAGCACTAGAAAGTCCCATTCGTCCTTCTATAAGGTAAATAGAAAGAAAGTAGCACTAGAAAGTCCCATATCTTCTTTAAAGGTAAATAGAAAGAAAGTAGCACTAGAAAGTCCCATTCATCCTTCTATAAGGTAAATAGAAAGAAAGTAGCACTAGAAAGTCCCATTCGTCCTTCTATAAGGTAAATAGAAAGAAAGTAGCACTAGAAAGTCCCATTCATCTTTCTATAAGCTTTAAGGTAAATAGAAAGAAAGTAGCACTAGTAGGTCCCATTCGTCCTTCTATAAGGTAAATAGAAAGAAAGTGGCACTAGAAAGTCCCATTCATATTTCTATAAGCTTTAAGGTAAATAGAAAGAAAGTAGCACTAGTAAGTCCCAATCGTCCTTCTATAAGGTAAATAGAAAGAAAGTAGCACTAGTAAGTCCCATTCGTCCTTCTATAAGGTAAAGGGGTCTCGATGGCCGAGTGGTGTAAGTAGTTACTACTGTAATCACTAGCCAGTCAACACTGAGGTTGTGAGATCGAACCCCGCTCGTGCGGGTGCACTGGACTCCCATCTTAATTGACTAGAATTGTCAGTTTTCCTATCGAAGGTCAGTGGTTTTCTTTGGGTACTCCGGCTTCCTCCACCAATAAAAACTGGCTGCCATCAAATACCCCAAAAGCGGTGCTTAAAAATGGCGTAAAAACACAAAAAATCAAATCAAATCTATAAGGTAAATAAATATTTTTGTTTCTCGTCAACATGATGAGGGGGGTTTTAAAGACCTTGACTACCCATGAGGGTCTTGTGCTTCTGTTTTTTTTACTCACACGGTTTGTAATATATAATGATTATGATGCAGTTGAATTAATTGCATTGTATGTGTTAGGACTTCCTGCTCAGATTGAGGAACACTAACCCTATCATAAACCTGTGTGATCTTAGGTGCTCTGTATGGGTTAGGACTTCCTGCTGAGATTGAGGAACACTAAACCTATCATAAACCTGTGGGATCTTAGGTGCTCTGTATGGGTTAGCACTTCCTGCTCAGATTGAGGAACACTAACCCTATCATAAACCTGTGGGATCTTAGGTGCTCTGTATGGGTTAGGACTTCCTGTTGAGATTGAGGAACACTAAACCTATCATAAACCTGTGGGATCTTAGGTGCTCTGTATGGGTTAGGACTTCCTGCTCAGATTGAGGAACACTAAACCTATCATAAACCTGTGGGATCTTAGGTGCTCTGTATGGGTTAGCACTTCCTGCTCAGATTGAGGAACACTAACCCTATCATAAACCTGTGGGATCTTAGGTGCTCTGTATGGGTTAGGACTTCCTGTTGAGATTGAGGAACACTAAACCTATCATAAACCTGTGGGATCTTAGGTGCTCTGTATGGGTTAGCACTTCCTGCTCAGATTGAGGAACACTAACCCTATCATAAACCTGTGGGATCTTAGGTGCTCTGTCTGGGTTAGCACTTCCTGCTCAGATTGAGGAACACTAACCCTATCATAAACCTGTGTGATCTTAGGTGCTCTGTATGGGTTAGGACTTCCTGCTGAGATTGAGGAACACTAAACCTATCATAAACCTGTGGGATCTTAGGTGCTCTGTATGGGTTAGGACTTCCTGCTCAGAATGAGGAACACTAACCCTATCATAAACCTGTGGGATCTTAGGTTCTCTGTATGGGTTAGGACTTCCTGTTGAGATTGAGGAACACTAAACCTATCATAAACCTGTGGGATCTTAGGTGCTCTGTATGGGTTAGCACTTCCTGCTCAGATTGAGGAACACTAACCCTATCATAAACCTGTGGGATCTTAGGTGCTCTGTATGGGTTAGGACTTCCTGCTGAGATTGAGGAACACTAAACCTATCATAAACCTGTGGGATCTTAGGTGCTCTGTATGGGTTAGCACTTCCTGCTCAGATTGAGGAACACTAAACCTATCATAAACCTGTGGGATCTTAGGTGCTCTGTATGGGTTAGGACTTCCTGCTCAGATTGAGGAACACTAACCCTATCATAAACCTGTGGGATCTTAGGTGCTCTGTATGGGTTAGCACTTCCTGCTCAGATTGAGGAACACTAAACCTATCATAAACCTGTGGGATCTTAGGTGCTCTGTATGGGTTAGGACTTCCTGCTCAGATTGAGGAACACTAACCCTATCATAAACCTGTGGGATCTTAGGTGCTCTGTATGGGTTAGCACTTCCTGCTCAGATTGAGGAACACTAAACCTATCATAAACCTGTGGGATCTTAGGTGCTCTGTATGGGTTAGGACTTCCTGCTCAGATTGAGGAACACTAACCCTATCATAAACCTGTGGGATCTTAGGTGCTCTGTATGGGTTAGGACTTCCTGCTCAGATTGAGGAACACTAACGCTATCATAAACCTGCGTGATCGTAGGTGATCTGTATGGGTTAGGACTTCCTGTTCCATTAGGGCCAACCCATCACAGACTAATTGTTTTGTTGAAATATGAAAATATTAAGAACAAAAATATATAATTCGCTTTAAACATGATATAGTTGTTGAAACTAGACCATGTTAAAAAAAAATTTAAATTCATCATAATGATTATATACATATAAAAAATCCTGTAATAGCTGGTTACATTAACCATACTTAACATGACTTAATGAACAGTAAAACTATGATACTAATTTATTTCTTGAATATCATGAATATTGTGAAGGTACTCTTTGGTACTCTTGTTTACTATTTTTGTAATTTGTTAACTAGTTAAATTTATCAAAGTTTCATTTTCATGAAGCAGTATAACTGAACTTTTTTTTTGTTTTATTTCAGAAAGGCAATAGAAATAATAGAACAAAGATTTGTTAATTATGCAGCAGAGAAACAAGATTTTCTTGGTGATGAGGAAAAACAGAAAAAGGTCATGGCTCTCTGTACTGAAGAAGATATCCTTTATTTTACTGTTTAAAACATAAAAAATCATCACCTTTTTATGTAATAGTGGTACCTAGAGGATAAGAGATCATTGGTTTGATAAGATGCATATTCATATCAATGAGGCCATGCAAAAATGCTTGTTTGCTTCCCCTAACTCTGCCAAGACTGTTTTTACCGTGGGGATCAATTTTTTTTTAATGTTTTTTTTTTTTTGCAGATGAAAAAAGTGTGTCTTTTGTTTCTATTGACAATTAAAAATGACTGATAATCTCTTAAAAGTGTTTCAACATTGCTCAATTATCATTCCTTTAGTTTCACACAGTATACCAGCATACAGAATGTAAAACAAGAATTTACTGTCAGGCTTATAACAACATACTCTGTAGAGTGAAATTGATTTTTGATAAAAATATAAAATAAACAAAAGTTTTTCCTGCCTGCCTGGCCTTAATGATTTTCACAGGTTAGGGGGAACCTAATATTAATTTTTCCATGGCCTGTCTTAAAAGTTTGTATTTGACGGTATCAGTATCGGTATCACTGTCTCTGCTATGCAAGGCCAGTAAAACTGCATTTGCTACCGTCAAATCGCCAATTGACAGCAGCAAATCTTTAATTACAGCACTGTTATTCCTTTATTTTCAGATCATCTTATAAAATGTAAGTGTTTTGATAAAGTTTTTTTTCTTAACATTTTTACGATTCAAAGACTTGTGGGAAAGGAAGGATGTCTTTAACAGGTTTGAGTCATCAAACAAAAGATGGCAAGCACTTTGTAAAAAGGTAAACTATTATAAAATTAAAAATAATAAGATGTGTTATGATTGCCTGTAAGACAACTCTCAACCAGAAACCAAATAACATAGAAGTTAAAACAACTATAGGTCACTGTATGGCCTTCAACAATCAGCAAAACCCATACCCCATAGTAAGCTATAAAAGACCCAGTAATGACAAATGTAAAACAATTTAAAAACGAGAAAACTAACAGCCTCATTTACATACAAAACAATAAACAAAAAAACAAATATGATATATAGTTACAAGCAACAACCACCACTGAATTATAGTATAATTTGTCTACATACTTAACAAGGTATTTTTTGTTCATCATTCATATATCATGTTAACAATGTTGTAGAATTATAAATGTTTCAATTTGATGTCTGGGGTGGTTCTCTTTGAGCACTTCGGCTTCCTCCACCAATAAAAACTGGCCACCACTAAAAAAAACCTATATTTCTGAAAGTGGCGTTAAAATACCACAAATCAATCAATCAATCAATCAATTAGATGTTATTGATATACCCATAACATACTGTGGATTCATTTATTTTCGTGGATTACGGAATACTTACATGTTCGTGGATATCTAATTTCGTGGTTTTGCCGAAGTTTGCATACAAGCCTATAGAAAATTTGTCATTCATTGAACATTTAATTTCTCGGTTCACCTGTACCAACGAAATCCACGAAAATTAGTATCCCACGAATAATGATACCTTTACCTGAAAAATATATAAAAAACCATTTGTATGACGTGTTTTACAAAAACATTTTGTTTTCCCCTTAAATAGATTTTTAGTAACTGATAAATATAATTCCATGGGTCATTACAATACAGTCAAAGGTGTGTTGAACCCTTTACGAATTTTAATAACATAATTTTCAAATCTGTGATTGATCAATTCATGTCATATGTTTGTATTATAAAATCATGTTATTGCATGGGTATTAATAAAGACATTTGTATTTTATTATTTTAATTAGAGTGAAGAAACTTTAGAAAGTCAGAAATACCTGAAGGAGGAAATAATGCTACAGTATGTTTACCCTCGTCTGGATGTCAATGTCAGCAAGGGAGTTAATCATTTATTAAAAAGTCCGTTTTGTGTGCATCCAAAAACAGGTTTGTACCTACATATAAAATATCAATCGGAGACCAGTTATTTCTGATGGCTGTTCCAGAATTAAATTCATGGGGGACATGGGAATCAATTTTTTTAGAGCCCAATCACCCATAATATAAAATTGTCATTTGACTTATAATTCTTACAAAATCTTAGGGAAAATGCAAACAATCACAATTTATCAATTTGAATGCCTCCCATCAGGCCAAGCACAATAAATTTTGGAACAGCCCTCACTTTTTTATTGCAGAACACATTAATATTATAAATACAGTCACAATTTGATTGTTGTTTCAAGTAAATAAAATCATATTTAAACATAAATGTGGATTTGTATTCTGATGTTTGTGTTTTAAATTCGCTGGATACAAGCAGAAAGTTGAAATCAGTGCTTAGAACATTCTGATTAGTGTTTACATTTTTCTTTGCTTTTCTTGACTTGAATATTCACTAGTAGTTTTAACAGGAGTAAAAACTACATTACTGTAATGTGATTTCATTTAAAAGACGTATCGAATTTGATCAAAGACCATTGTATTGTTTAGAAGAGACATCAATTTAATTGACAATGATTACCAAACTTCCTGCCAAAGATATCTCCAGGTCTTCTGGCTTCCCCCAACATCAAAAACTGGATGCCATAATATAGCCAAGTTAGCTGAAAGTGGCATTTAATGCCAACAAACAAACAAACAAAGGAGTAAAACCTATAATTTACAACTTACTAGCCCGGTCTCTGTCCGGAATTGAGCCACTATGAAAATTTTGATATACTGTATGTTATAAATTGACCTTTTCATGTGTGTGTGTATCTTACCTTGAATGTGATATGTGCATGTAGACTCACCCTTTGTTTTGTTGTAGTATATCTAAATGGAAAAAGTTTAATGTTTCAAGTTTGTTGTTGAGGGTATGGATGGGAGAGCCTTCATTTCTGTATTCTTGATTTTTTTTGCAATCATTCTCAATTCTTTATTTTTCTTTGCACATTCATCATTCTCAATTCTTTTTTTCATGATTCTTTATTCTGTAGACCTAATTCTGTAAACCCTGTGCAAATGTAAGAGATAAATTTGTCCTGGTAAAATATGTCCGGGCGGACACATATAACTAGTATAAAAAGTCCATGGTTACATAATTTACTAGTATATTTAGTCCGATGTTAGTAATTTATGTCCCCAGACTAATTTTCCTAGGAATTCAAGTCCATGTCATTAAATTTCCTAGGTAAAAACGTCCATGTCCTTTTTTTTATAGGAAAAATATTAATGAATCAACTCATTTACATTTAAACTAAATAGGAAATTTAAATATTACGTTTTAATATTATTTAAGAGTTGTGTATTTATATTTTTAATAAAATTCATGTCCCCAGACTAATTTTCCTAGGAAATCATGTCCATGTCATTAATATTTCTAGGTAAAAACGTCCACATGCCCTTTGTTTTAAAAGGTAAATATAAATGTTATGTTTTAATATTGTTTAAGAGTTGTGTATCAATTTTTTTTTAATATAATGTTTGTCCCCAGACTAATTTTCCTAGGAAATCATGTCCATGTCATTAATATTCCTAGGTAAATACGTCCATGCCATTTATTTTAAAAGGAAAATTTTAATGAAACAAATTATTTACATGTTAACAATGGAAATTCAATTTTTATGTTTTAATATCGTTTAAGAGTTGTGCATTAATACTTTAATAAAATTTATGTCCCCAGACTAATTTTCCTAGGAAATCATGTCCATGTCATTAATATTCCTAGGTAAAAACGTCCATTCCCTTTATTTTGAAATTAAATTTAAATGTTATGTTTTAATATTGTTTTAGAGTTGTGTATTAATATTTTAATAAAAATTATGTCCCCAGACTAATTTTCCTAGGACATTATGTCCAATTAACATGCCTAGGTTATAACGTCCGGCCATGTCCTTTTATTGTAATAGGAACAAATTAATGAAACTTTCCAATCTTACCTTAGAAAATGTTTTTTTTATTTTCAATAATTTTTAAAATGTAATAAAAATTACTAGAAAAACAAGTCTTAGGACAATTTTTCCTAGGAAAATAAGTGCCAGACATATTTTACTAGGTATGGACTTATTTTCCTAGGAAAATTTGTCCTGGGACTTAAATTCCTAGTAAAATAATGGTCATGGACTTGATTAACTAGGAAAAAAAGTCTGGCGGACAAATTTTACTACCGGACCAAATTTACTGTTACACAAACACTCATTGATTAGAATCCCAGTATTAATGATTTTGTACCACTGCTGTATATATAATTACAGGACGTGTATGTGTGCCTATAGATCCAGACAACATTGACAGTTTTGATCCATTTAAAGTTCCAACTATAAGGTAATGTCATTAATCAGGTAAATTGACCAACAGCAAGGTTAATTATATATTTAAACAAAATATGTTGGTGAAATTGTATATGGCAGTGAGGTTCCTTGGTGCAGATCTGACAGTTGACTAAGGACTAGGAGCAATGAAAAGGCCCATAGTTGGCCCCAAATTTAGTGCAAACGTTAAAAAATAGCATACAAGATAATAAATTTGCCCTTATATGACATAGCTTGAAGGTGTTCAGGAAATAAAGACAAATTTTACATTTAATGAGTAACCATAGCAAACATGCCATGATATTAGTATGTTTTTTACAATTTATTTTTCCTGTTTTCTGTTTAAAATATCTTATCAGTTTATTTTTCACATATTATGACATAATTGTACTGTCATGACTTTGTAAATCTTGTATTACTCATTTATATTTCTTGGTTTTATGCATTTACCTACATTATGAACAAATTTGAAGTAGTTCTCAAAACTTCATTGTCTTGGACCAAAACTGGGCCTTAATGCCACTTGATCTTAAGGGATGTTAATTGGTGTACTTTTAAGGTTTACAATTTGTGTTACTGTGGTTTCATTTCTTTTCGTGGTTTCATTTCTTTTCATGGACATATTCTTATGTGGAGAGTCAAAAAAGGTGTTTCATCAAAATTTAGATTCATAAATATTGCTAATTTGAAATGATTTTAAAACATTTGAAGTTTAGACTTTTATGAGAAAAGGAAAAGAAAACATTACCGCCATTATATTACATCAGGTCGTCAATTTTCTTGTTTGAATTGTTTTACATTTATTATTTCGGGGCTTTTTTATATCTGACTATGTGGTATGGGTTTTGCTCATTATTGAAGGCTGTACGATGACCTATAGTTGTTAATTTCGATGTCATTTGGTCATTTGTGGGAGTTGTCTCATTGGCAATCATACCACATCTTCTTATTTTTATATTAACATTGTAGTCATTCTTTCAAAGGAACAGTGACATTATTTGTTGATATTGTTTATGTGTTGCAGTGCAATAATAGAAGAACTGAACATTACAGAATCAAAAGATGAGGATGGTAAAAAGATTAAAGGTTAGATTTCACAAAAAAAAATATTTGCTAAAAATTTTCTTGGTAAAAAGATTAAAATTAAGAGTCCTACCAGAATTGATAAGACAAAAATTTTTAGATATATCAGAAAATACATGTTACCATATTTATATGTACTATAATTAAAACCAACAAGAGTTATTCCAAAAATTCTGATAAATGAAGTAGAGTTACCCCCCATTAAATACAGATATTAATGTAAAGAATTATTTTCAAAGTATGAAAATTTATTATAATAAGATGCAAATGTACAGAAGTTTGACATCTGATAAATACAAGGACTAAGACATCTTTTCCTGTTGTTCTATTGGATATTTGGGCAAATTCAGAATTTAGTCTTGTTTTGATCTCCCGCATTGTTAGAAATGCAATTGACATTCCAATTTTAGTTAGTGACATCAGTCGCTTGCACCCTATTTTTATTTGAATTAGAACATGGTTTTGCCTACAAGGTGAAAGAAGAACATCCTATTATAAACAGATTATTACCATGATGTCAAAGGAACCTTTTCATTTATATCCTAGACATAACTTGATGTTATATCATGGACCATCTTTATACAATTACAGACTATAAGAAGACCTCTCTTGCTGGCAGTATGGCTGTGTTTGAAAAGTTTTTAATATCTCTTGAAAACTCTTGGAAAGGGAAGAAACTGGAGGAAAGTGGTTAGTATATCAGAAAACTTTGCATGTGTCCATTTTTCGTGGAAGACATTTTACAACACAATTAATGCTTTATGAATATTTAACTTTCTATATAAATGCATTGTACATAGCTCTGAAACGGGAAAAATTAACACAGCAAAAATCAAAACCACAAACAAAAGCCCAACACAAAAATAACTTATCATGTTTGACTGCATAGGCTATTCCTTGTCTTATACTGATATTAAAGAAAGATTTTTATTGCTTCTGTCAAAAATTTATTTTAGTATTTTGCACACTACCGCCTAGTGGTGTAAGTACTTTATCTTCAGAAGTTACTAGCCCGTCAGCTCTGATGTGTGAATTAGAACCTCACTATTGTATTCCACTCTGATCGTAATTGACAACCATTTCCAGTTTTTCTGCCAAAGGTTTATGGTTCTCTCTGGGTACTCAATCTTGATGTGGGGCCTCGGTGGCCGAGTGGTCTAAGTAGTTACTACTGTAATCACTAGCCAGTCAACACTGAGGTTGTGAGTTCGAACCCCGCTCGTGCAGGTGCACTTGACTCCAATCTTAATTGACTAGGATTGTCAGTTTTCCTATCGAAGGTCGGTGGTTTTCTCTGGGCACTCCGGCTTCCTCCACCAATAAAAAATGGCTGCCATGAAATAGCCCAAAAGCGGTGCTTAAAAGTGGCGTTAAAACACCAAAAATCAAAATCAAATCAATCTTGATGTAGCTATGGAAGATAAAAGTGGCTTTAAATGTGAACAAACAAACAAACATTTTACCACCCACCTCTCAATTTTACAAGACATTGCTAATATAGACTGACCTAGGCCTATGATACTATGGGGACACATTTTTATTGATGTGTATGTTATTACTACAGTATAATGTTTTAAAAGTAACTGGTTTATTGTTTATGCATTTCAGATAAGAAGATGGAATTCTAGAAAAGAGGAAGAAATATATAGACAATTGTATAGATCATAAGGAATAATAAATTATTCATATTTATTTAATTTGTACCATTATATACATTTGTTTTTTGCATTATGAACAAAAAAATGCCAATTTCTAAAATGGAAATTCTGTTGGTTAATGAACAATTGAAATTTTTGTGAGAACTTTATCATGGAACCTTAGCTGATTTTATTGTCTCATCTTGAGAAGAAAGTCGCTGTAGTATGCCAGACTTAGGTATTACTATATGGAGTTTCCATCTGTCATATGTCCATTGTCCTTGACTCCATTTTCATGGTTCAGCGACTGCTTGGAAAAAAAAATCAAGTTTTTTTGTCATGTGAATTTCTCACTTATTATGAGTAATAGGATAACTATATTTGGTATATTGGTATATTGAATAATAACTGTAAGGTGTACATGTCTGTCTGACAGGATTATCTGACCTTGACCTCATTGCCATTGATATTTAAAAATGTTATACTTGTAGTAAAACCTTTATCTTGAAGACTTTCTACATAAAATCAATGGTCAGTAAAGCAGGCGAGATATTTCAGTGTGTGCACTCTTGTTGTTTATACAGAAAACTTAAATTATGTAAATGTCTTTTTTTGTCTCACCTCAACAAAGTCCAAAAAGCAAGACTTAGGCCTGCTGTGGGCATACAAAATGTATTATTTTGTGATTAGGTCAGTTTAAGGGGGACAATTAGTTGTAGGTCAATTATGTTTGGTTTGCAGTTGTATAAGCATTGGTGCATCTCATTTTCACAGATTATTTTTGCCTTGCCCCCTCAGTTATGGTCTATTGACTTTGAATAGCTTACATGTTAAAGTTTGTGATTACGTCAGTTTAAGTTTAAGATCACCCATTTGCATTGTCTCATTTCCATGGAGATTATATGACCTGCCCCCTTATGGTTCATAGACTTCGAAATTTTTACATAGTTAACAAGTTAAAGTTTGTGTTTAGTCAGTTTACTGGGAACCACTTATATTAGGTATGTAGTTGTATCAGCACTGGCATTTCTAAGTTCCACTGAGGTTATTAGGTCCTGCACCTCCAGTCATGGTTCATTGACTTTAGATTTATGGTTAATAAGCATATAGGCACATGTCCTATTGGTACCCACGTTGTTCTCAACACAGTTTAAGTGCTTGGTAGGAGATAAAGAGCTGTAAAAAACATTGAAACGGCACAAGAAAAGACATCAAAAGAAAATCATATGAAAATAGACTAAACCCCTAACGGGAGGGATTGTCCTTGACTTTCATATGATGAAGACATAATCTTTCAATCAGTTTAATTGAGGTCTGGAGCTTGCATGTCAGTAACTGCTAGTAGTCCTTTGTTTATTTATGTATCATTGTCATTTTCCTTAGTTTCTTTTGTTACCTATTCTGACATTGGACTCAGACTTTTTTAAACACTGAGTTTTACTGTGCGTATTGCTGTGTGTTTGTTTATTCTACATTGGCTAGAGGTATAGGGGGAGGGTTGAGATCTCATAAAACATGTTTAACCCTGCTGCATTTATGCGCCTGTCCCAAGTCAGGAGCCTCTGGCCTTTGTTAGTCTTGTATGTTTTTTAATTTTAGTTCATTTATATGTTTTGGAGTTTAGTATGACGTCCATTTTCACTGAACTAGTACACATTTTAATTAGGGGCCAGCTGAGGCCCACCTCCGGGTGCGGGATTTTCTCGCTCCATTGAAGGCCCATTGGTGGCCTTCGGCTGTTATCTGCTCTTTGGTCGGGTTGTTGTCTCTTTTACATATTCCCAATTTCCATTCTCAATTTTATTTTTAAGAACAAAATCAGCCAAAATATTATGAATGAGATGTACACTCCAATTTTGAAGAGGTTTGATCCAGACAATGGTTTTAAAACCAATGATAGAGCAAATTTCAAACACTTGACAAAAAAGACTAGAAAAACATGTCTTGGTGAATAGAATATTTTGATTTGTAACTGTCCAGTTGCTACAAAAGATAAAAGTATTTTATCATCAACAAATTTCATATAAAAAGTGAACAGTCTGGCCAATATTCAAAATACAATTACAAAATATTAGAATCAATTCACAGCTACAAAATGTATATGAATTGATGAACATAAAAAAAATCGTAAATTGAGCAGTGTGGATTAGCATCTTATATTTCTTGTTGTATAATTGTATTTATGTGATAGACTGTACAAGTTCAATAATATTGTATGTTCATAAAGTCACAGACCTTAATAGCAATTACAATTTTAACATCGTTGTAGACAAGCTGAATATCGCCCCATGAATGATTTAAATCCCCTCTCAAAATGCATGCAATCGATGAAAATTAATAGGCATAATGAGAATCATTTGCCTTGTAAAGAAAAGAAATTTACTAGTACACATGTATATATATAAATCTTAAAAATAACCAGCAAACAAGATATTAGATTGTCTGAAAATGATAAACACAAAAAAAAAAATACAAATCAATTGCTTCGTGCAACCTTCATTATATGAGCTGTATCGGATAGAAATCGACCTTATGCAAATGCATGTATACATGTACATGTGTAAGACTTTGGTTGATTTCGTAACATTCAAATGCGAAATAAAAGATAAATTTTAGTCTGTTTTGTAGGGTTCTTATATCAACTCAATTTTAAAACAGTAACAGTCTTTACTTAGAGATTTTACAACCCAAAATAGGTTTATAGATGTATTGATATTCATTTGCATACGGTCAATTTTTCTATCCGAACGAAGCTTACATGATGCGCTTGTAAGAAAAACATCCAGTTATTCAGACGGTATTTTAAAATATGACAAAAATCAGGATAATAATAGGTAGATATGAAACAATTATAGTTTTGTTAAATAATTGTGAAGTAATTTAACAGACAGGCAGTAGATACCATAAAGGCACAGTCAAAACGAACTGACAATGCCATGGCAATTTTAAGATTCATGGACAGTTAAGGTGTTCAACATTAGCAGAAGCAATATTGATTATACAACAGAGTTCAAAAGGAGGGTTCAGCATCCTGAAGTTTTCATACTAACATTTCTGTAAACTAGAGGCTCTTAAGAGGCTGTGTGGCTCATCTGCATCTTCAACAATGGCCACTTTATAGTAATGATCACCATTGAAGGGGAATAACTCTATTATTAGACAATTTTAGTCATCATTGGTCATGTTGCTGCATTTGAAAATCTTATGCTGATCATATTTACTATTTAAAGTTTCTAGTTATTTAATTTTCAAGGTAATAGGCAAATATTGGGAAAATCGTCCTTAAAGGGCAAGAACTTCAATTAGCAGTCGACTATTGATTTCGGTGATGTCGCCTTACTTGCAGATCTTGTTTAGCTGATCATGTTTGCTATTTAAAGTTTCTATCTATCTATTATAGTTTTCAAGATACTAGGCAAAAATGCAAAAAAAAAATCGTAATTAACGCACAATAACTTCAATAAGTTGTTGACTTGTCAATGGATCTTGTCTTGCTGATCATTTTTGCTATTTAAAGTTTCTGTCCATCTGTCCATCTATTATAATTTTCATGGTAATAGGCAAAATTGCAAAAAAAATAATGAATAAATTCGTTGTTTCAGGGAAATAACTCCTGTAAGATGTTGTCTGACAGTTTTGATACCAATAGACATTATTTATTTTTCAATTTTGATTCATTTATTTATACACGTGTATATATATGTCTCTGATTTATATGTCTCAGACTTAGTGGGACGTCCATTTTAGCTGAACTAGTATACTTAAAATTGATAATGGAAATGGGGAATGTGTCTAAGAGACAACAATTTAATGTTTACGGACCAGCTAAAACCCGCCTCCGAGGGATTTTCTCGCTGTGTTGAAGACCCATTGGTGGCCTTGGGCTGTTTTCTGCTATTTGGTCGGGTTGTTGTCTCTTTGACACATTCCCCGTTTCCTGCTATTTGGTCGGGTTGTTGTCTCTTTGACACATTCCCCGTTTCCTGCTATTTGGTCGGGTTGTTGTCTCTTTGACACATTCCCCGTTTCCTGCTATTTGGTCGGGTTGTTGTCTCTTTGACACATTCCCCGTTTCCATTCTCAATTTTATTATTATAGATTTCATCATTCTGAACACTTTTGCCTCTGTCAGCAGGGGCGGATTCAGGCGGTCGTGCGCCCCCTAAAATTCAGCTGAATAAAGAATATTTCAATAATTTTTCCTCAAAAAAATTTAAGTTTGCGCGCCACCCCCCCCCCCCCCCCCCCTAACATAAAATCCTGGATCCGCCCCTGGTCAGATTTTCTTAAAAAAATTGATTGACTTTCAATTGTGCACGTACATAGATGGGGAATACTTCACAACAGTTAAACATCTTATCTTTATTGCTATATGTACATGGATATAATTTATTCAAAATACATATTTTCAAGAACGAAAAAAAATATTTTTGTTTGTACATCAAAATTCTAAATAAAAATGTTTATTTAAAGTAATTTAAAAGTTTATTTTTCTAAAACAAAAAGAATTCTATAAATCTAATTCAAAATATTTCATTTGAAGACAATATTTCCAAAATAAAATCTAAATCCATATAGTTTATATATTATGTAATTCTTTTTTTTTACCTTCTTCCTTTCATTTGCATTGAAGTGTCTGCAGGAGGAAGACAAACTGATTTTTTTAAGTTATGTAAGATTAAATAAATAAAAAAAAATGAAATTTTAACGCTCATACTTAAGGGGATTTATTTAGGTTTTTTTTTTTTTCTTGTATTAAACATGTTTGTTTAAAGAATATTTTTGTCATTTATTTATAGAAATATTTTTATTATACTAAATGAATATTTTTTATAAAAAAAACTTAGGCTTAAATGTTCCATCTTTTATCATCCAATTTGTATAACTCATGTTGTGTGTTTTAGATAAAAGGGAAAATCTACGGTTTACTAAGGAAGAATGCCTGCTAATGCTGAGGTCGTACATTGTACACCCAGGGGATTACCAGTCTATTGTGGAGGAGATAAAGGTTAACAAAAACCATTTGACTCCCCAAGTTAATGCCTTTTATGAAGGCAATGACTTCATCAAAATAAAACAGAGATTGAGGGAAAAATTCCAGAGACTGGTGGCAAACATGAAACAACAAAGGGATCCGGAAATTAGGTAAGAGTAGTTTGATGCTATTTAGGTAGCATGAACGCCTGTTTGTTATTTAAACTCGTCTGTTTTTGCTATCCTGTGCTGTTTGTCGTTAACGGAATATGTTTGTTGTTGTTCTGCGGTTTGCATGTTATGACTTTTGAACACCGGTAAACTGCTGTTGCCTTTATTTATACATTTCTTTCTTGACCAAAAAATTATTCAATATATGTATAAAAAAAAGAGTAGTTTTGTTATGTTTCATCTTAATATTTTTTTTCATCAAGAAATATATATTTAATATAAGTAACATAACCATTTTTTATGTTTCCATTTTTTTTTTTAACTTTTAGACGTCAATGTGTCCATTTATATAAGAAAACCACAGTGGTACCAGGCTTGATATTGCTATAAAATTTATAGTTTTAATCTTTGAATGATAATGATCACATTATAAATAATTTTAGATTGCAAGCAGTTAAACGAAAAAAACACTGTCTGTTATTTATACACAGTGCATCTACAGCATTACTAATGATCAAAATAATAATGTTTTCAGAGAGGAGCTTGAGGTAATATGTTCAATGGAGAACAGGACAGTTAAATCTACTTACACTGCCTGTTCCAGCCAAGCTGACCCCCTCAAGATAAAGCTGCAGAAGAAAAATACTGGAGTAGTGCAACTTAACCAATCATCAGGGAAAGATTCATCTAGTGATGATCTTCCCGATCCATCCTTATTCCCCGTGAAGCCTTGTACATCAACACCGAGGCCAAGACCATCTACCTCATCCTCTTTAGTTGATGTAGAGGATGAGGAGGATGTAAGGCTTCACTGGGCTAGGAAAGTAGCGAAAAAATGTGAACAGAAGAGACATAAGAAAAAGAAGACAAAAAAGACAAAGAAAACAAGAAAGGGAAAATCCACGAGAGAACTAATTAAAGAAAATGAAGAAATGAAAAACGAAGTATTGAAATATTTGGTTAAAAACAAACAAAAAATGTTCCAGGAGTCTTCGTCCTCTGAATCATCCTCATCAGAGGAGTCGGATTGAATTCTGATACATATAATAATAAATGTATAAGTTAGCAGTCAAAACGTTTTAATTGTTTTTTTTAATATTAAAAATGAAAGTGACAAAATTTTCATCACCTTTTTCATCTTTTTCCCCTCTCTTTTCCCTATTCATGATTTTTTTAACACGATCTTTGACTCTTCAATCATTAACTATATCTGCATTATTATCTAATATCACGCATGAGAAGTAATGATGATTTAAATATCAAGTGTTAGATATAAACGGGTATTCATAAATACTATCATGTATACATAAATACCATCATGTAATAGAAAGAGTGTATAAATGACCGAAAGACATCTAACATAGAAAAAAACATATATTATTATATATGAACCATTTAAACACCGTAAATAATCAATTAAACAATAACCCATAGATACGTTCAGATACGTCAACGTATCCGATACGGATACGATACGTCTTTAAATGTCCCACTTCTAGTAGACATGAGGCTGAGCATCTTCTTGCCAGTATTTCTTCACTGTACACGAGCATCTCCTTGACAGCTTTTCTTTACTATACATAAACATCTTCTTGACAGCATTTCCTTTTAAAAAAATAAGGGTAACTCTACTCATAGTTATTTCCCCCAAGAAAGCAGGAATACAAGTGTATCCGGATCCAAATCAATCGTAAGTTGTACTCTTACAGAAATCATTTAGCAACGATCCTTAAGTCATATGAAACGAGTTTGTGGGATTATGTTTCGGAAATTATTGAACCAATACATGCATTCCGATTCCACACAATCTTATCAAACAAAAGTTTTCCTATCTAATTAAATGGTCGTTTGATAAATCTGATTGCAAATTTATTTGCTGCAACTCGTATAAAGACTTTTTCTCAAATGAGAAAGGTAAATATGCTAGATATACTTACTGAAGGTGTAATGAGATGATTACAGTCCTAAATTTACTCCTTGACAACATTTATGTACGTTTCGGCAATAAAGTTTATCGACAGGTTGTAGGTATTCCTATGGGCACCAATTGTGCCTCTTTAATAGCAGACTTGTTCTTGTACTGTTATGAATCTCAGTTTATGGCCAAACTCAGTAAAGAACCGTCCAAATTCCATTAAAGTGGTAAATTCAACAACATTTACCGTTATCTTGATGATATTTTTTCGTTTAATAATCAAAAATTAATTCTCTAAATATACTGCTGAAATTTACCCAGAGTAACTTATTGTAAATAAATCAAATATTAACAGCAATAACTGTCCTTTCCTAGATTTAGATACACCAGACACTCTACACAAAAATTTACGACAAAAAGGATGATTTTTCTTTCCCTATTGTTAATTTTCCTATTTTGGACGGTGACGTTCCTTTGGCACCGTTTTACGGTGTTTATATATCCCAACTCGTTCGCCATGTCCGTCTCTGTGGTAGCAATACACAGTTAGAAGTTTAGTTTCGCATTTTGGCCATGGTGAATTTTTTAAATATGAAAGTTTTTGTACAATAAAATTGATTTGTAGATAGTTGAAGAATAAGTTAGCCTTCCAAGTGGGTTTATATGAATATCTAGATTGTTTTTAGCATATTTTATAGGCCATTTTTCTGTTTGACCGTCCGTATTTTCACATCCGTACCGCCCATATGTCCAGAAATTATTGTAGTGTTTTTCAACAAAGATTTTCAATTTTATGGAAAAATGAGCAGAAATGCATATCATTTTTTTGGACCTCTTGATAGATAAATGTCTATGGTTTCAGGAAAGATATCACTCAAATGGATTGAAATTCTCCTTTGGACTAAATTTTGGAGACTTTTGTGACATTTTCACCCCCCTTTTTGCAATATTTCGTATCAAATAAATGCAGATTGTTGCCATGGTTACACCAAAAAGAGATTATATTTCACCATTATAACTATTGGAAATCAAATCTATGGAAGATGCTCTTTCCATAAATATATACATGCATAACACAAATATTAAGCCTTATTTGTTAGAAAAGAAGGGAAAGAGGGTGGTTAAAAATTATGAGTGTCAATTGTAAGTTTTTTTCCTAACTGAGTATTGCTACCTGTAGTGACGTTTTGGATTTTTATGAGCGGAATCTATGTATTACCAGTAAATTATTAAGTCAGGGATTTCGTTACCAAAAAATTACTTAAAACCTTTACTAAATTCTTCCAAAGATGAAAAGCTTTGGTTTGCAATTTTGGCTGTACCTGTAGAAAACTTCAAAATTTCAAACGGAATAGCACATCTTAAATTTTACGGAGATGTTGTTAACCGAGCCCGGAAATTTAGATACGACCCGGGTAAACTTATCAATCCTTTAAATATTTTTTTTTTCTAAAAGGTTACCTGTTCGACACTGTAATAAAATCTTTGAATATTGTTTTTATTGGTATAAATATTGATTTTTGTTATCAGTAAATTAAAACCATACTAAATATTACACATAAGTACTTTCACGGTACTACAATCTGTCGATATCTATATTTTGGCATTAAACAATGTCATGTTTTTCTCTGACTGTTAATGGCGTCTTTACACTAAATCCATTGGGTGTTGGATGTGTACTGATTGATCTTAGATACATGATTTTTTACTAGTTGTTCTTGGCTTTGAACTAGCTATCAGTAACTGCGAGCACTCTTAGATCTGTACATAGTGTCTTTTTTGTTGGTAGGGATTAAGGATGGATATATACCCTGCCACGTCCTGTCTGTGTTTTTGTTTGATGTTTTCCTGTATCGATCTGATGAATTAAGCCTTTTTGACTGATTTTTATAGTTTGTTCTTATGTTGTGCTGTTACACCACTGTTCCAGTTTAGGGGAGGGTTGAGCGCTCACAAACATGTTTAACCCCGCCACATTCTTTGTGTGTCTGTCCCAAGTCAGATGCCTGTAGTTCAGTGGTTATCGTTAGTTCATATCTGTCATATTTGTTTTTTGTTAATTGTTTTGTTATAAACTAGGCCGTTTGTTTTCTCAATTGAATTGTTTCATATTTAACATGTCGGGGCCTTTTATAGCCGACTATACGGTATTGGTTTTTCTCATTGTTGAAGGCCGTACGGTTGCCTATAATTCCGTACATCAACTTCATTTGAACTTTGGTGGATAGTTGTCTCATTGGCAAACTTACCACATCTCCTTATTTTTATATATATACTAAGATACATCATCTGAGTGCGGTTCTTATATTTATTACGAACCCGTAACGTATAATCGACAAAACAAACTTTGGCTACTAAGGAACTTTCGGATTTTTTGCGCCGAAATTTGCCGATTGTGACGTTGATAAACAATCAATACAGAATATGGACCACGTTAAAAATAAGTCAGATGATAGAGCGATGTTCATTTGTTATTTTTGATACTGTCCATGCGTTTCAATTAGTAATTATACAACTTTGTCATAACAGTTGTTAAATGATTTGGTGTATAAAAAATTTTCTTTCAGGATCTATTGATAATACCTTCTTTCTACGTTTGTTTACCTTATCTTTCATTGCGGTTTTTACCGCCTCGGTTGTGTCGTGGTAGCGTGTTCGCCTCCAGTGCGGGAAGTTGTGGGTTCGAACCCCGGCCGGGCCAAAACAATGACTTTAAAATTGGTATTGCTGCTTCTTCCCTAAGCACGCGGCATTAAGGAGTAAGAGCAAAGACTGGTTAGCTCGGAGTCAGAATAATGTGTCCGAGTAAGGTGACATGTCTTCCTGCGGACTGTTACCTTGTGAACTAGCACGTTACAAATCCGGCTCAGCATGTCGGTCTAGTACAAAACAGGGCTAAATTTCATATTACATTAACATGTTCTTGTCCTGAATATGCATATTAATTTGCCGCTGGACGTTAAGCTGCCATCCATCATCATCATTATTACGTTTTTTTTTCCTTCGGCACTTGCGCTGTGTGGTTGCCGAATTTCTAACGAGAGATGTCATGGTTAAGTGACTGCATACGGAAAAGCAGTCGGCGAATTAGAGTATGAAAAGACAATTATTAAATAGTAGTATATTTTTTAAAGACTTGGATAAAATAAAGGATTTTCTTTTAAAATAAAGTCTATTTACAAGTGTTTTATAGTAAAACTTAGCCATAATTAAAGTACATTCAACATACTCAACGTTTTTGTTAAATTTGAAGTATCACATGACTTTAACGCGCCGGCCGCGCACGGATGGACGTCATATTTCAAAGACCAAGTATGCGTTGTTCTTTATGTCAAAACCGGTTCCTGCTTTGTGGAAATCTAGAACGAAACAGAGTCGTAAACATTTTCAAACCCGGGTCCTTCCATTTTGACACGACCCATTTCTTTCGTTCCATGCAAAGAAATAAAATATTGAGGGTAATAAAAGGATAACAACAATACAGAAATCCAAGGCAAATCCAAAAAGGGGAAATCCATAAAAACCAACCTCCTCGTGGGGGTTTTGATTATGTGACTACTTGGCCGTTTTATAGTGATTATTTGATTACCAGACCAAATATTTCATGATTATTTGATTATTTGATTATCTTTTTTAAAAATATAAATAATGATTTTGTGATTATATTGGCAAAACATTTGTGATTATGTGATTACTTGGACACCCCCCATGAGGGGCCTCAAAAACTGACAAAATCAAACGCTATCAATCAACAGAACAAGTGAAAAACAACTGCCATATTCCCGACTTGGTACAGACATTTTCCGAAGAAAATGATGTGTCAAACTTGGTTTTATAGCTAGCTAAACCTCCCGCTTGTTTAACAGTTGTTTATAGTTCCGTTATAACGTTACTAATCCTGCAATCTCCATGAATATATCTTTTTTTCCGTGCGTGTCTTTCCGTAGAGTGTACCTAATTGAAAGAGAAGGCAAACAAAGTCTAGGTAAGGGTCATTCATTATTTTGCCGTGCATTATTTCTTATTTCTCCTTTAATCTAGAATGGTTGTAGAAAATATTACATCTCACAATCGAACATATACAGTAATATGTGTATTTATATTCTACAATTGCATAAAAAACAACAAATAAGTGAATAGAAATTCTTCCTTTTATCTGTGTGTAAGTGTTCCGGGGTAGTTAAAACATATTTTAGTGCCCAAAAAAACATTGACAATAGGATCAGACACAAGTTTTGCAACTTAGAATGTCTTCTCCATTACATACACGTAATAAATAACTGAACAAAATAAAATACATGTAAATAACATCTTACACAATATTAATATGGAGACATGAAATGAACAAGAATGAATTTAAACGACATGGCTCATCGCTTTCTAAAAGTCGAGTTGACCGTAAATTTATTTATAAAAAAAGACCAAGTAGGCTGTTTTCATCTCAGAATCCGGGGTAGTTAAGCCACAGTGACATAATAACGGATCCATTCATGTCAATTGTTTCTTTTGAAAATTTTCTTATTTTGATATACGTTTTAGTATATTATAAATTAATTATGAGAATTTGGTTCAAATAGGTCAACATGAATTTGACAGCTAGTGTCTCTTTAATGAAAAGCCTTGAAAAAAAATAATTATAAATGTGAACTCTGATAGTTTAATTGATCTATCTTAGTGTATATTCTGATATTAAGTACCTAATAAATCACGAAATTGAAATATAAGTGTTAAAATTATTGCTTTGAAGTATTTGTCAAATACTTTGTAAAATATTTACTATGAGATCAAATTTTTCTTTAATATGTTTTTGATCGTCAGATGTGTGAAACAAGCACAAAAATTATTTAAAAACTATTTTGAAATATATACACGCAGACATTTAATGCAGCAGGTATTTTTTCACTGTTTCCATATATGATCTTATGATATGTTTGTTTTTTTCTGCATGGCTGGTTGGTAAGTTTTGAAAATCTAACTTTACCCAAATCAAGTAAAAAAACAACCAGACATACCCTTATATGTGTTTGCAAATAAATAAGATAAAATTGAGAATGGAAATGGGGAATGTGTCAAAGAGACAACAACTCGAACATAGAACAGACAACAGCAGAAGGTCACCAACAGGTCTGCAATGCAGCGAGAAATTCCCGCACCCGGAGGCGTCCTTCAGCTGGCCCCTAAACAAATATATATACTAGTTCAGTGATAATGAACGCCATACTAAACTCCAAATTGTACACAAGAAACTAAAATTAAAAATAATACAAGACTAACAAAGGCTAGAGGCTCCTGACTTGGGACAGGCGCAAAAATGCGGCGGGGTTAAACATGTTTATGAGATCTCAACCCTCCCCCTATACCTATATATAAGGCATAGATACTAAAAATTATTTTTTCAACCGAGTTTCCGTATATGATATAATGCTATGATTTTACTTTTTCTAATCTTGGCTTGTTGGTAGGTTTTGAAAATTTTACTTTATCCAAAATAAATTTTAAAAAATACAAACACGGTCTGCAATATATGTTCGAAAACAATTAATGCAGCATGCATAGACAATAAAACTATTTTTCAACACGTTTCCGTATATATGATATAATGATATGTATTCGGTGAAGTGTCTGTCAATCTATCAATGTGAATGATATTGGAGAAAAACAAGTAATAAGAGGTGTCAGAGACGACAACCTTGTCGAATTGTTTTTTCCCCGTCATAAATGGGATCGACTGTATTGCCTTTAGTATTTTACGTCACCTCGTTAATGTTGTCAGAACATATACTGGTCTTGATGGGAGTGACAGTAGTATTATCTAGCTGAACGGATTTATATAACACATGTACTATGTTTGAAGGTAAATTGGACGGCTTATATTATTATAACAATAATTATCGGTTTAAATTCTTTTTTTAGAAATCTTGATATCTAAAAATAGTTTAAAAGTAAAATTTTATTTATAATTCCCCAATTTTAAATAATGTGATATTTCTTACACAATAAATAGTGGGTTTTTTTTATTCAATGCCGTACATGTATATTATTAAAATGATAATTATCTTTAAAAGAAAGTAAACAAAATGAAACGATATGGAAGATTTATAGTGTGTTGTATGTCAGACGTATGGGAAAGTGGTTAGGAAGACCTCTTGTGGTTAGGCATGACAATGTGTATTTATTTTTAGAGTATAAAAAATGTTTCAAGGACGCAAGGAACGGTTTGACAATGCTTCCTGCTTTTAAAATACAAAATAAATAACTAAAATTAAAACTACCACAGCACAGATTCGTTAAAAATTCGGTCTATTTATCAAATTTGTCATTTAGTCAACATTAAGCCTCATAACTCTTACGTAAGGAAAACAAACAGAAATTTTGTACAGTCTTTCTTCGTATAATTAACATATTATAAAACTTGTATCAAGCTTTCTCTAGGACGAATCGCTTGAGAGGGTTTATTAATAAAAGCAATTGTTGCATCAAGAGTTATGCAAGGTCTGTTTTTGTCTGCACATGCATACATGTCAACATTTATTGATTTACATTTACTAAAGTATTGCATGCATGCAAAAAGGAAAGTGTTGTGTAACGTGAATGATATAAACATCAAACAATACACAAAAATTAACATGTCACTTTTAATTGACCCATGACGTAATAAAACATAAAATATACATTAACATGTAAGATTCACGAATGTTGAGTTATTTTTGTATAATTAAAACGGAAAATTCAAGATAGTATATTTGGACCTATCTTTGTCCTTTGATAGTTTGTAAGTAACATATATGTATTTCATTTTCACCGTTTTGTCAGTTGAATTTCTTATCAAGCAAGTTCAAAATTATTGCATTCTTTATTTCAATTTATCTACATAAAAAAGGTTGTATTAAAATTATGTGTATAGCATTTCAAAATGTTACTTTATGAATTGTCAAAGGCAAAGTTCTATAATGTAAAAAATATTCTAACTGGGGAATTGAGATTTTCAGATTAATGACATATAAATGGCGTTTCAACATTACAATCGATATCGTTACAATTTTACCTCAAGAAATTTATATTTTTGTCCATCGACAACTCTTAAAGTTAAAAGGGGGATAGAAGGGTTTGTTTTCATGATTTCTTGAAATTTTTATTCTTAATTTCTTGGACCAAAAAAAATTGTTTCAGACGGAATTTAAAAAAAAATGGTAGAAAATTAGGAATACATGTATTTCAACATTGTGTTATAAAAATCTTGTTCCTGTATGTTTCTGAGAAAAAAATAGTTTGTTTTTGATTAATGTCGAATAAAATTTTCTGTCACCCTCACAAGAGAAGAAAAGTCGATGCCTTATATAAAGCAGTCTGAATTTTCTATGGTACATATGTTTGACAGACTGGCAACTGAAAGTCAGTGTGTAAAAGTCAACACAAAACATGACAATACGCATCGAGTAACAAACTGGTTCCTTAAATATATAATGGAACCTTTATTTGGAATAAACATATCTTATCTTAATTTATCTTATCTTATCTTACTCCACATAGTCATCTACTTTTCTGGGATAACCTACTATATGTTCTGTTTGATCCCCTTGCTGTGTAAAGATAATCATTAATGACTAAAGCCAGCCCCCTTTTGTGTTTGTTTAAGTTTGTAGTCTTAATGTTCTGGGAGGGGGGCAGGAGGATTTTTTTGCGGATTGATTATTAGTATTCATTTTCATATGTGGCTACGCATGCGTATTTATTTTTTCATTCGAATATTCATTTGCAATCTTATGATGCAGAATATTCATTATTCATTTTCATCTTGTGTTTTATACAAGCTTATTCATTTTCATCTTGTGTTTTATACAAGCTTATTCATTTTCATCTTGTGTTTTATACAAGCATTTTCATCATGTGTTTTATACAAGCTTATTTATTTTCATCTTGTGTTTTATACAAGCTTATTCATTTTCATCTTGTGTTTTATACAAGCTTATTCATTTTCATCTTGTGTTTTATACAAGCTTATTCATTTTCATCTTGTGTTTTATACAAGCATTTTCATCTTGTGTTTTATACAAGCTTATTTATTTTCATCTTGTGTTTTATACAAGCTTATTCATTTTCATCTTGTGTTTTATACAAGCTTATTCATTTTCATCTTGTGTTTTATACAAGCTTATTCATTTTCATCTTGTGTTTTATACAAGCATTTTCATCTTGTGTTTTATACAAGCTTATTTATTTTCATCTTGTGTTTTATACAAGCTTATTCATTTTCATCTTGTGTTTTATACAAGCTTATTCATTTTCATCTTGTGTTTTATACAAACTTATTTATTTTCATCTTGTGTTTTATACAAGCTTATTCATTTTCATCTTGTGTTTTATACAAACTTATTTATTTTCATCTTGTGTTTTATACAAGCTTATTCATTTTCATCTTGTGTTTTATACAAGCTTATTCATTTTCATCTTGTGTTTTATACAAGCTTATTCATTTTCATCTTGTGTTTTATACAAACTTATTTATTTTCATCTTGTGTTTTATACAAGCTTATTCATTTTCATCTTGTGTTTTATACAAGCTTATTCATTTTCATCTTGTGTTTTATACAAGCTTATTTATTTTCAGCTCTTTCCATGCTAGGATATTGCCCCCTCCCGAAATTCAATAAGTCGCCATCTAAAGCATGTCCCCACTAAACACAAATACATATTGAAACGTTTCCTGGTTATCTGTGTATGAATAATAATTTGGTTACAAATGAGGGTGTGGATGGGGGTTTACAGAATAGAGAATAATGGGCAAAAAATATAAAGAATAGAGAAAAATGGACAAAAAAAAAGAATAAAGAATAATGAGGTGCTAAAATATAAAAAATAGAGAATAATGGGCAAAAAGTATAAAGAATACAGACAATGGCCTAAAAAATTAAAGAATACAGAAATGACGGACCCCATCCAGACCCTCACAAATGATAAGTTTATTTTTAAGACAAAATTCTAATTTTTATTTCCTTTTTACCTACAGATATCTAAAGCCATTCAACCAGAGTGAAATATATTATCTAGAATGGCGGTGTCTGTTTTAAAACATAACACCTCATCAACAAAAGCACAGTCGGTGGCAGCAGCTAATAATATAACACCGTCGGAACTAAATACCAATGACTCTCATGGAAGGACAGTTTTATTCTATGCAGCACGATATGGTAAATTAGCTGCTGTTAAAAACTTGATAAAAGCGGGAGGTGATCCGAACATTTCCGATGTGGACGATAGCTCTCCACTTCATGAAGCTGTTGAACGCTGTCATCATGATATTGTGAAAATATTACTCAAACACAGTAAGTAGACGTAGAATGTAGAGAAAGTTGTAATTGGCTTTGAACTAGTTTTCAGTAACTGTAAGTACTTTTATATCGGTGCTATTTGTTGTATGTTAATTGTAAATATAAAGATAAGAAGATGTGGTATGATTGCCAATGAGACAACTCTCCACAAGCGACCAAATGACCCGTTATTAACTATAAGTGACCGTACTTTGTTTGTGTTTCGTACCTATCTATTGAGTTAAACCATTTGCAACGGATTTTTACAGTTTGTTATGCTGTAACACAGCTGTCCCAGGTTAGGGGAGAATCGCGCGCTTAAAAACATGTTTAACCCCCGCCACATTCTTTATGTGCCTGTCCCAAGTCAGGAGCCTGTAATTCAGTAGCTGTCATTCTGTTCATGTCTGTCATAGTTTATTCGTTTGAATTGTTTTACCATTTTCATGCCGGTCCTTTTATATCTGACTATACGGTATGGGTTTTCTCGTTGATGAAGGTCTATAACTATTTTATTTACGTCATTTGAACTCTGGTGGATAGTTGTCTCATTGGCAATCATACAACATCTCCTTATTTTAATATTGATATGTGTAATAACAGAATCAATGCGGTAATTGACAAATAGACTTTCAAAGTTGGTACAACGGGACATACAGCTTTTAAAAGTCATGTTTTGAGAGTCAAAATGCTTTTATCTTGTTTTTCATTTTGATTGTTTTAATTTTGTTCATTTCTGTAAGAAAACACCAAGGATGACTTTGGTATAACATTATTCAATTTGTTTTACTGACTTCTCTCGTTAAGCTGGAAGACAACTGATGAGGAGATTCGTGGAGTTGTACGGAATTATAGATATTTAGCTGCCAATGAAAAGGAGATTTACATTCATGATCCCCGTTTTAGGAAAGTGCCACACAGAAACTTAGCAAAGCTCTACTCTTTGAGTAGCCCCGTGACCTGTTTGAAAACTAATTTTCCGCATTTATAACTAATATACCTTTTTACAGTAACAGTCCAAATTCATGGCCCGCCACATTTTGCTGTCAAGATTTTGCAATTTTGTTTTCTTCCTGTATATACATGAAATATTTTCCACTGAAAGCTAAACAAACAGCAATCAATAAATTTTCTTTGAGGTATACTCCAATGGTAAAACATTTTTCATTTTATAATCTGTTGACACGTAATTGTGGTAAAAATCACTTAATTTATAAACTGTATAATTAAAATCGTTAACTTATGTCATTTTAAAGTCAAATATCGAGAAAACATATAGCCGACATTCGTAAATAAGTTAACTGTGACTATAATACTGTTTTTTGTGATTTTCAATTTTAGGATCCATAGACGTGAACACAAAAAATAAACATGGACAAACTCCTCTGATGAAGGCAGTCATTTACGATGATGAAGAAATGGTCAAGTTACTTCACAAATCAGGTAACTAGTTTAAGTTTCAAAAGAGATCATGTAGTGTACGTTATTCATTTCACACATAGTTATTCAATTTTTAATTGTGGAAATATTATGAAATTGCCACTCATGTGGTTTTTTAAGACACAAGGGGCATTAAAAATCACCAGTCAAATGGCAAACAACATTACCCTAAAAGAAAGAAAGCCAAAGAAACACAAGTCCATTAAGATTTGAATGGGGGTTTTCCGCTACTTGAATTGTCAAATAACAGAAAACAATCGGTGTAGATTTTTAATGAAAAAAACAAATTGTGAGACAGAAACGCAATTCATTCGTATTACTTATCACCTAGACGAATTCATTGTATCATTACTATAACGACTGTTTTTACAAATACATAATATTTCTTTAATGATTATTTTGTTTTAAACTTAGACTAATAAGGGGAAGTAGATCTGATAATTTAATTTTATAAAGGAATGTACAGTAAATTTTCTTTTGTGTATTAAAGCAATCAACAAAGGTCGGTGACCCCATTTTTTTTTTCCTTTTTCCTTTCTTAATATAAAAATAAGGATATGAGGTACGATTGCCAATAAGACAACTATCCACCAAAGTTCAAATAAAGTGGATGTAAGCAATTTGTAAGCGTTATATCTTCTCAAATCTTATTTTAAATTCTGTCATTAAGTTTTCTTTCTTGTCACATTATAAATCCTTTTCTTTGTATAAACCTTACAGAATGTGTGAATTTATCACAGTCTGTAGCTGAAACCCAGCGACCTATGATTTTTATTATATTTAAAAAAAAACACACACGATATACAGATATTTTGGTAAAATATGACTGAAAACATTCGTTCTTTTTGTGTATATAGGCCCATACCTTAAACATTTATTAACAAAAACCCAGACCGATCACCCCACATCCGACTAGAACCTGGCGTTGAACTCAGATATTCGGAAGGCTAAACAGTTTCTGCTGTTTAAAAATCGTTAAGAAATCAGAATATTAAAATAGGTGTTTTTAACAATTTTATATTTACACATTGTAAATAACATTATTTATCTGATATTGTATAAGCACATAATTTTTTTAATGTAAAATCAACAATCTTGATCTGAACAAGCCAAGTTCAGAAATGTCCGAACCATGTCATGATAAACCTTTTTAAAAACTATTTTACTGACATTTTTCTTTCAATAAATTCCGTTGTGTATATATTACCATACGATTCCGATTAATAGACATTTATATCCAATTTGTATATAGATATAAGAAGATGTGGTATGAGTGCCAATGAGACAACTCTCCATCCAAGTCAAAATTTATAAAAGTAAACCATTATGGGTCACAGTACGGTCTTCAACACGGAGCCTTGGCTCACACCGAACAGTAAGCTATAAAGGGCCCCCAAAATTACTAGTGTAAAACCATTCAAACGGGAAAACCAACGGTCTAATCTATATAAAAAACGAGAAACGAGAAACACTTATGAACCACATCAACAAACGACAACTACTGAACATCAGATTCCTGACTTAGGACAGGTGCAAACAAATGCAGCGGGTTTAAACGTTTTAATGGTACCAAACCTTCACCCTTTTTCCTGAAACAATAGTGTAACATCACAACATAGAAAGACACACTATAAAATATCAACTGAAATAGCTTAACTCAATCAAAGGACATATTAACACCATTGAACATACACTGAACAAATAAATTTGACCTATGATACAATGTAAATACAAAATAATTAAACTAAGGGAAGAATAATAAAAGTAACATGTTATATAGGTATGAAATGTTAAACAATTAAAGAAAAAACAATCTGCTCGAACAAAAATATTAGCCGTTTGCAATAACTTTAAACACAGGTAAAAGAAAATAATTGTGTTGTTAGGTATACGTATACAGTACCAATAGAGAAAGGAAATATTTTTACAAAATAAATAATTTTGATGTTCATAGTACGAAGTGAAAATTTATAGTAATACCAAACACTTATAAAAGCTGGTATATAGACCAGATATAACCCTGAATAACATTAAATAACAAAAAAGCAATACAATTAGTATCAACAGGTCAAATAAACAAGAAAGTACGATTTGAGAGTACTCGCAGTTACTGACAGCTAGTTAAAAGCCAAAACAATTAATAATAAAAAATCATGCATCAGAGACTAAAATCAACTAAAACACATCCCAGGGATTTAGTATGTTAACGTCATGGACAGTCAAAGAAGACATGACTACTTTTTGTACAAATTACAATTTGTTCAAAGTCAAAATACAAATTATAATTTGTACAATTTTTTTGTACAAACTATAATTTGTACAAAATGATAACTTGTACACAACATATATATATACATATTCAATACCTTTTTTCATGATGATAACAGATAAAAATAACTCAAATGTTGGTAAACAACCTCATTAAATGTGAGGCGTTAGTGGGCATCCTTGGTCAATACCCTGCTAAGCAGTCTTCTATATGACACCAATGATTGATACATATAATAATCGACATTTAATAGACATACAAACAGACTTTACGTATGCACATGTGATAGGGATATCAAATAATATTATTCAAAAATAAGTTTCCTTTGTTATAATAACTATTGTTACAAATACACGCAACTACAACATTAAGTAATTTATTATAATAAAAATATTAACTTGAAGTGCACATAGTAATTTATTGATTGTAATAAAAGTATTGCTTGGAGTGCAAGTATGCCGTAAATACTACACGGACGTTCTTAAGAATGAAATTTTAAATTCTGCATTCAAGTCCGTGCGCTCCACAGAGAGTCATACAGTAAACAATCATATCATAACCACATCACAGCTTAAGGCCTCTTCTGAACATTTGAAGGTCCCACATATGTATTAGTTACCTAAATTACACAAAAAAACAGTAAAATATCGTTTCATCTCTGCCTCTAGTAAGTGTTCTACAACTGATCTTTTAGTGCTTTTAACTAGTAAAATTCACTATTTTTGGAGTGTAAAAAATTCTTTGGATGTTTTAGATAAGTACGTGCCTTTGAAGGTCCTTTTGATTCTGTTGACAGTTTTGACTTTTTAACTATTTTCACTTCACTTCCACACAATCTTATCAAACAAATTTGCAGCAACTCATTTAAAGCTTTCTGCTCTAACGAGAAAGGCAAATATACTAGATACACTTACTGGAGGTGTGATGAGATGATTGAAGCTGTTAATTTTCTTCTGATAACATTTATGTACGTTTCAGCAATAAAGTTTACCGATAGGTTGTATGTATTCCTTTGGGCGCCAATTGAGTCCCTTTAATAGCAGTCTTGTTCCTGTACTGTTATAATTCACAGTTTATGGCCAATCTCAGTAAAGACCCGTCTAAATTCCATTTAATTGATAAATTCAACAACACTTATCGTCATCTTGATGATATTTTTTCGTGAAATAATCAAGAATTTTCTAAATAAACTGCCGAAATTTACCCAAAAGAAACTTACTTTGAATAAATCTAATATAAACGGTAATAACTCCTTTCCTAGATTTAGATATTTCAGTTTTACACGGAAAACTCTACATTAAAATTTACGACTAAAGGAACGATTTTTCGTTCCCTATTGTTAATTTTCCCTTTTTCGACGGTGATGTTCCATTGCCACCATCTTACGATGTTTACCTATCACAACTCGTTCCCTTTGGCCGAATCTGTTGTGGCGTTTTGGATTTCAATGAACGTAATTTATGTATTACTTGTAAATTATTAAGTCGGGGATTTCGTAACCATAAAATACGTAAAGCCTTTACCAAATTCTTCCATAGATATAAAGATTTGGTTTGGAAGTTTGGTTGTACCTGTAGAAAACTTATTTTTAACAGGATAGCACATCCTAATTTTACGGAGATGTTGTTTACCAAGCCCGGAAATTTAGATACGATCAGGGTTAACTTATCGATCCTTTAAATAAACTTATTCTAAAAGGTTACCAATTCAACACTATAATTAGATCTTGAATATTATTTTTATTGGTATTAATAATCAAACTTAATATTATTTTTTATATACATGCTTTACAATCTGTCGATACCTGTATCTTGGCATTGCACAAGGTCATGTTTTTCTCTTACTGATAATGACGTCTTTACACTAAATCCATTGGATGTTGGATGTTTAACCCCGCCACATTCTTCATATGCCTGTCCCAAGTCAGGAGCCTGTATTTCAGTGGTTGTCGTTTGTTGCTGTATAATATATTTGTTTTTCTTTCATTATTTTGTACATAAATCAGGCCGTTAGTTTTCTCGTTTGAATTGTTTTACATTTGTCATTTCGGAGCCTTTTAGAGCTGACTATGCGGTATGTGTTTTACTCATTGTTGAAGGCCGTACGGTGATCAATAGTTAATTTCTGTGTCATTTGGTCTCTTGTGGAGAGTTGTCTAATTGGCAATCATACCACATCTTTTTATTTTTAAAAATAGTATTTTTTTGTAATGAAGATATGAACTTAAAGTGCATATTCTTTACTCAGCATAGCAAATATATCAAAACTTCGAAAAAAAAGAATATTCAAATTTCCAATTTTCTAAGAAAAAACTCACATCTTGTTCATTTACAACAACAACAAAAAAATTAAGTCGACCTGTGCAAGAGTAAACACATTTATATTCTTTTTATTTTTGAGTGTTTATATGTGTGCTCTCTATGAGTGTTTATATGTGTGCTCTCTATGAGTGTTTATATGTGTGCTCTTTATGAGTGTTTATATGTGTGCTCTCTGTGAGTGTTTATATGTGTGCTCTTTATGAGTGTTTATATGTGTGCTCTCTGTGAGTGTTTATATGTGTGCTCTCTATGAGTGTTTATATGTGTGCTCTTTATGAGTATTTATATGTGTGCTCTCTGTAAGTGTTTATATGTGTACTCTCTATGTGTGTGTTTTTTTTCTGATGGAGATGTAGGTGTATAGAAAAGTTGCCTAGAAGAAAGCATTTGTTATAGCATCATTAATACTTATTGTCATTCAAAGTGACATGTACAAGAGTAAAAAAGTATTAGAAAAGGCGAAGAATTATATTTTATCCTCTGATTTTATTATAAAATTACTTAACCGAGTAAGGAACGGAAAAGGTATTTTCAATTAAATTTGATACACATAAGTGGGTTCTACTCAAATCTTTATGTGTGATTATTAATGCACGTACACCAACACGACTACTTATGTCAGTTTAAAACAAACGTCTCTCTCTCTCTCGTTTCCTTTCAATCATCTCAAAAGCATTCATCCAATAAAATGTTATTTTTGAATGGATGCAATAAAAAAGCAAACAAAATACAAAAAGCAAACAAAACCCCCCAAAAAACATGTTTGTTACGGAAATAAATTATAACATTTATTATGACCAGGACTTGTCATTGGCTGACAGATAACAAACATTTAATAATGACCATTATGGTCAATATTATATATAGTACTGCAGTCTGTTTACTAATTGACCACTCATAAAAATGTATGACTAATAATAGTTCGCCAATATATATGATTATAAAAGTTGTTTCGTGATAACAAATAAAAAATAGTTTTCACCACCCATACAATAAACATTGACACATAATCAGTTATGATCTTGTACTGGCTGGCCAGAAAGAATAACTGCTTACAGCCATGGCGAATAACAGAGGGTTTCATTTATTACTTTTAGAAATGCAAGTAGACATAAAAGAATTACAAATCAGACATGTAGACAAGTCTATATATATTTTGGTGGATATTTAGTTGTAATCAAACAGTAGAAATTAACTGTTTTTAATAAAGGTAAACATGAAAACAATAGCATATTTGGCTTGTTAGTGTTCCAAAGACTAGTACCCTAATATTGAACCCTAGAAAAGGCTAAATTTGACAACATTACACAACTTTACTTTTATTTTGCTTATGTCAGTAAAAAGTCGTTGTCCAGTTCTGTCCCTTCATTCTTCTTTTTATTGACAAATTATAGATATTGTTGTACCTGTTTATTTCTTCATTTAATCAACATAAAAAAGAAACGGTGTCCAACATTGATTGATTGTTGTCTGATTAACGTCCAGTAGCAAATATTTCACGCATATTTGGGAAGAACTTAATGTTGATTTGTTTATTGACTCTTGAGTGCTTTATGTCCAGCTCCAAATATTTTAGACTTAACATTTTACTGTCGTATGAAAAAAAAAAAACCAAGCATTGATATGTACTAGACCAACAATCTGAATAAACGTGCTATCTCCGAAGGTAACAATCCATGCACAGGAAGACATTTTATCCTTCTCATACACGTTAATTCGTCTACAAGTCTACCAGTATTCTATTTTGTATTCGAGTCAAGGACGCAACATTGAGATTCTATCAAAGAGCTCTTGCTACATAACAAAATAGGGAAACTTACTGCACATTTTTTTTATCTCTCCTGATATAACTTATAGTTTATAATTTTTTAATTAATGGAAACATTTTCTGTTTTTTGTAAGAAAAGATGTAACCATGAAAACATACGAAAGGAAGTAAGGTTAGCGACAACCATCATTGTACTATAGGTTCCTAGACACGGTCAGTTTGATCGTTTATTTATTTCAAAAAACAAAAGTTTTCCCCAAACCCGGAAAACTTGGCATACATTTTAAGTCTATAATTTGAAGTTTTTACTTTAAATATGAGATAGTTTTAGAACTTTTTTTATATCAGGTGCTGATCTGGATGTTGAAGATTCGACTGGTAAATCCGCCTTTTTGATAGGCATGAGCGAAGGGAGAGAGAAAACAACGGAATACCTGATGAAAAATGGATGTGATATAAACAAAATAGATCGTCTTGGGCAAACAGCACTGTACTTAGGAGTGATATCGCCGAGCAGAGCGAGCAAAAATTCAGAAACAATAAGGAAAATGCTTAAATTAGGTATGTTAGTCAAAAGAAAACTGCTTTGAATAGTTATTTATTGAAATGCCTGAAGGACACCAACTCAATCTTAATGTTGTATATATAATATAGTATTATATAATATAGTATAAAAGTAAAGAGATGTGGTATGATTGCCAATGAGACAACTAACTATCCACCAGAGCTCAAGAGACGTAGAAGTTAACAATTATAGGTCGCCGTACGGCATTCAACAATGAATTAAACCCATACTGTATAGCAAGCTATTGAAGGCTCCGACACGAAAAACGTGAATTAGATATGACAGACATGAACAAACAACAACCACTTATGTTCTACCTCGCTTTGCTCGTCCGAACATAAATTATTTCTGATTCTATATAAAGAAACAACAAAGACTAATATGGCAGGAGATACACACCAAACAGTTTTAATTTTTAACAATTTTTTCAAAATAAACCAATTGAATATTAAAGTCCATACATCATTCGTCATATTATTCATCTCAACTGTTCATACTAATATCTACAAAAAGAAAATACAAAGAATTAGGATTTATACAAAGCATAATATTACAATCTAATTGTAATAAAGTTGTCGAACAAGTTTGGTGTGTGAAATCTCGATGAAATGAAAAGGGCGCGTAAAACAGTATATAAAGTCCGAAAACCGAATTACTCAGTATTGCGCAACAGAAAAAGTAAGAAATCTCAAAACGAAAAGAAATACAATGAATTAGTGGCTGCTTTCTTGGGACTGTCAAATAAAAAAATTCAGGGTTAAACATGTATAATTGTATGTAACAACAATACTAATCTATCAACAACTTTACTGCAATTAAGATAAGATACCTAATGGTCTAACCCTAGATGATTTTATTTTGTTTAAATGGTCTCTTGTATAGAATGAAATGTTAAACTAACGCTTAATATGTATGTTTGGCAGAAGAGATAAATGAAATTGTTTCGGATTCGGCATTGTTAACGGTTTTAGAAAACATCTCATACCCTGCTTTGGTTTGATTTTGAAAAAAAAATGAATTAAAATACATCATTGATATTTGGTTTATTGTAGCACTGCTACCATGCATTTCAGTTTTAAACATGCGTATTGTACACCAAACACGCTTTTTATAAAATTCAGTTTTTTAAATCGAATAAACACCTTCTAATTGTGTGCGTCTTAATCTCTTTTCTATATTTAACTTCCTTAAATTTAAAAGTTTAAAGGCAGGGATGCTTTGATTCTAAATGTTAATTTTTTGTAGTAACAACATTAACAATCACTGAGTGACAATTTCAATGCAACAGATGCGCATTTTTACAATTAAAATTTGTACAAAAGGCAGTGCATTTTGGGTATGCAAATGCGTAAGCACTCATTTGAGTTCAAAAAAACAAAATAAGATATATTGGATGCAAATTTGTGTTAATTATGATTATAGTGTTTTGTAGCTGTAGTTTTTGTTTTATGATTCCACGAACAAGCGCCTTACATCTCGATTTTATGATTTTGAAAATCACAATCGCTCGGAATTATTGTGATTGAACGATTGACCAGAATTCGTTTTTTTTCCCATTTCCGACAAACGTTTTGCCCATTTTTACATTTGACTTGCTTAAAGCATAAAATTTTTTGGTAACAAATGTGTTGATTACAGACACATCTGTTATTAACGTCACCTCTATTGAGTGAAATCTTGTTTATGCAGGTCATGATCCCGCTGAAGTAGTATCTGCATTTCTAAACTCAATCGAAAGATCAAATCTTTTATAAGGTCAGTTCTCTCTGGTCCTGTCGGTGACCTTTATATACAGGTTTGACTGTATTATCAATAGAACATATGTTTATTTTTCAGGATATACATTAGAAAAGGACGAGTATTGGCTTGTCAAAGCCGGTGTTGATATTGATAGTTTCACTCACCAAACTTTCTTTCAAAAATTAGCATCTAGATTCATGCGGAACACACAACGTAGGCGGTTCAGCGAGAGTGGACACGAACGTCAAAGAAGCGCAACTGTTGTCCAAAATGAAAGACACGATCAAAGATTTAGCGCTAGGAGCAAATCTTTCAATGTTTGAAACAAGATTTTGCAGTTGGAAACTGTTATGTGATAAGTTTTAATGTCAATGCAATCAGACAAATCCATATCGCCAAACACTTTGATATGTAAATATACGCGTATTGTGTGAATTTCTATCATAATCATTCAAAAAGTCATATTGTGTTTTGGAGCCAAAATGGAAATTGCGTGCCATCTCTTCATACTACGATAATGTTGATACTAACAGACTACCACGATGCAACACCTCTGAATAGAAACACAGCTTCTATCCACGGACAATCAGAGACTGGAACCAACTTCCAGCAGGAAACATCGTAAGGGACTCTGACAGCTCAAAGGAAAACCTCAGGTTGCCCTCCATCATGAGACCAAGGACGAGGTGATCCTGTAGAATTTCACCCATATTTTTATCCACATCTGCATTTTAATTTGAACATAGAATTTTTCTATTTTCCCGCTGACCACACCATCATCAACACCTGTACTTGATTACACAGCATCAGTATGATGGCATTTTCCTTTGCTGATTAACGAAAGAAGAAGATATGTAGAGTTTATGACATTTTACTCTATTTCTGTCAGTCATGGTTTATTTAGTATTTGAACATGAAACATGCCACAAAGCAAAAGTAGGACTTCATATTATATTTCAAAATACCATTATCAAATGAATGTACTATCTACACCGAATTCTTTAAGAAGTGGATACTGAACATATTCAAATAGACCTTATCGTTATGTAGAAAACGGCGACATGTGACCCGAGAATTTTCGACACTCGAACTATTGAAGTCATACAACTATCCCTTTTCTTATGTGGCGTTAGACATTTTCTCTTGTGACGTTAAAATATAACAGGAACTTCTAACTGGCTAGATTGTGTCATATTTTCCATCTCATATTCATCATAATAAAAACAAAAATAATAGATTTCTTAATAATTTAATTTTGGATATAACACGTCTTCTGATAGCCTGAAAGTTTTTGTCTGTCAGTTCATACACATAATTTTGTCGTCATCGACGTTTTTTTCATGATTTATTCCTTAGATATGGAATTTATAGAACTAGATTATAAGGAATGACTGTAATATGTTTTCTGTCTATTCGAAATGACCTCAAAAATGTGGTGCACACTTTTAAATAACACTCTACGCGGGTTATTCAGTGTGCACCACATTTTGGAGGTAATTTCTTCATAGACAGTTAACGTATTACAGTCATTCCTTAAATAATAGTAACGTATTGAACTGAATGACAGGTGTTTTTGGTTTTTGGCTTTTATAAGCATTTCGGGTTTTAGACTTTATGATGAAATTAAATACAGAAAGGCTTAGGACGAACCAAATTTATAAAGTGTTATTTTCATGTTCTAGCACAGGGTTGATACCACTGCTGGTGGACTGGTAATCACCGATGCGCTTAATAGTCAGTGCTAAGGTACAGACATTATTTAAAACATACCTCTCTTAAATTTTGTGTTGATAAGTTAAAAACCAATTAAGAAACTAAGGCTCTCCCTCAGGCAAAGTTGACATACGTGATATTCCTTTAGTCTCTCTTGGTCTGTTTTGAGGTATTTATATCTCCTTGCTGTGTTAGTGTGAACATTTTCTTGTTGAGCATTTATGATAAAGATTTATCAATGAAAGCGCTTCACACGAACTAAATTTTTAAATGTTATCTTTATTTTCATTAATTAAAACCCTTTTACATTTTATATAAACGCAGGGTAGAGATTTCACTCTACATTAATTTACTTGTATTTTGTGAATGACAGTCAAGGCTGTATATAATGGACACCCTCTGGACTATCGAAACTTACTTTCGACATTTGAATCGAGGTTCAAAACGAATTTGTATTACCACAGTAAGACAATAAGAGGATGACAAAGACGTTTGAAAAGCCACATACATATAATTACCAAAAAACATCAAAACCAAAAGACTTTTAACCAGAACTGTGAAAATCATCCACGGTCAATTAATTTCAATTGCCCTATGGACTCCCAACCTTAATATTTATAAGTAATATAAAACTATGTGTAAACTAAAATGTTACTTACAGTGAGTACTTAGTACCTGAATTTGATAAAACCGCATTGGCTACTGTGCGGATTGATCCTTTGGTAACGACAATGCATCATTGTGGTGATGATCCAGTGGATCATTTTTTTAAAAATTAAAACACATGTTGTTTTCTTTTTTTACAGCACTGGGTCGATACCTCTGCTGGTGAACTATCGGTAATAACATGAATTATAACAAACCTGTATAAAATTATCCGTTTATGAATGTTGAAATTATATAAAAACTTAGGTTTCAACTCCCTCAGACAAAATTGTTTCGGTTCTTATTCATCCTTGGCTTTCAAATATTCGGCTTTGAGCGTTACTGAAGAAGGTAATTCAGAAAACGCTTCTGACTTTTATATAGCTTCTGATTTTTATGTAGCCTAGGTGGTTGAGTGGTCTAGGGCGATGGACATGGTGCAGGCGGTGTTGCCACGATGTCACAGAAGGAAGTGTTCGAATCCCGCTCATTATTTTGTAAACAACTATAAGGCCACACAAAACAAATTAGGCCAAGATAAATAAATACAATAATTACAATATCATAACAATATATTCAAGGGGCCTACAAGTTTATTTGTGTCATCTTTAATGAGAAACAAAAAGACTCTTTATCTGGCATTTTCACACCCCCTTTTTTATACAACCCTTTTATAACTTTTCTTTTAACTTTATCTGGTTTACCTGACCACAAAAAACTAAGGAAAATATTTTGAATTTGTTTTTATCTTATCCATACGTGGGTTTGACAGAACTGTCAATGACTGAATTAGAATAGGTAGAGCTAGTGATTTAATAACAGTAATCTTTCCCCATATAAGTTAAATCTCTACATACCCAGTTATTAAGTATGTGCTGCATTTAAAAAATCTTCAAAATTAACAAACGTTTTATTTCACTGAACAGATTAAATTTGATTTCTAAATTTTTAAATTTTCGCGAGTAATTCCAATTCAAGTTTCTTGTAGTTGTTAGTTTATTCTTCGAGTGAATCTTTGAATCAATCTACATTGCTTTTTTTTTTATCAAAGTAAGCCCTTAGTCCAGCATAATCAGATAATTTTTCTTAAGTGTATAAGTATTTTTCTACAGATTGCTCATTCTCATATAATAAAAGACATGCGTCATCGGCATACTGGCGTAATATATATACAGTTATTTATTTTTTATACCTTTTATCTCTGGGTTGGTTTGAAGTGCATTACTCCTAAGTTCTAGAGCAGTTTCCATTGTTTATAATATAGCTCTGAAATTCTGAATATAAGGTCTTTACCCAATTACAAATTTTTTTTCCAAAACCCCCAAAAGATAAAGCAAAGTCAATAAATGACCATTCAAGAGTATCAAATGCTTTCTCAAACTCTAATAAAAGTTAAAGACCCGGAAGATCATCTTCTTCTGTCAATTCCATTACATAAAAAATAAGTCTAGTACATTCTTGAATATACCTGTCCTTTATAAAACCTTGCTGTGTTTCACTGATTATATACCCAAGAAAAGGTGTTATTCTATTTCCTAAAGCAGCTGATGTTATTCAGTTTTGTATCAACATTTGATAAAGTGATGTGTCTCTAGTTTTTCAATTGAAATTTTTATTTACCCTCTTATGGGATGCAGGTTATAACTCCCTGTTTCTGACTAACAGAAACAGTTCCAGTTTCTAAGCTATAATTAAAAGGTATTACATTAAATTCACGAAGGACTATCCAAAAGAATTTATAAAATTCAGTTGTACATCCATCTATCCCTGGAGATTTACCTTTTATCGTATTTTCAATGTATTTAAACATTCATTGGTTTTCAAATTATCTTCTGTTTTTTACTGTAAAACAACTAATTTTCGCGAGCGATTTATTTTCACGACTTTGGCGATAGAAAGATAACGCAAATTTAAATCGTCGCGAATATATGAAACTTGAATCTTCCCTTATATAAAAAAATATAACGAAAATAAGAAGATCGCGAAAATAAGTCGCCGCGAAAATAAAGTATGCGCGAAAAATAAGTTGGTTTACAGTATAAATAATATCATGATATTGTGCAGAAGTTATTGTATTAAATGGAGGAATTGATCATAAATATCCTTTTCTACCAGTAATAATTTTATATTTTATTTGATGTCATGATAAATTAATAGAAATAACAAAATATCGTGTTTCAATATCCAAACTTCAAATATAAATAGTCAAAGCAGTTTTCAGGAATAAAATTGATATCATTGTAATGGGAATTATTATAATTTTTGTTCAAAGTAATAGATAAGTGGCAGGCTTGCTGAGGATGAAAACCAATTAACCCAAACCTTTAAACATGATTATTGCGCATTATGAATATAGGAGCAAACAAACTGGCATCATCACCACTCTCAAAATGTATGCAATGGAAGCTGTCACCTCTTCTCACTACATTCATTTCCAAACAATAAAGTATTAAAATGTACCCAATGTCCAGGCAAACATTCACACCTCGAAGTTTCTGAAGATCAAACTCACATTCCTTCTAGCATAAACTTTTTACATTTATCATCTTCACCTTTTTTTACTTTCACCCTCTGTTTCCAACTTTATAGACCCTACTGTTTTTTTATCCTGTTTAAATCATTGTTGCTTTTTTCTACCACTCTTCATGTGTTTGTCTATCATATCATTTGAAGTTCAATCTTTCTTACTAGATCTATCTTTACAATCTTTTTTTTCAATTATAATTATTCCTGTCCACTGCTTACAAAAAATAATGTTTGGTAGTTCATCACTAATTCCAGCGTCACAAATATCATTAAATACCATACAATGCTATTGTGAAACTACCTACTCTACGGGCGGTATGAATCATAGGTGGATACTTAAAAACATCCAAAGATCTGATAGAATATATATAATCTAAGTCTCTTTCCTCTTGCAATAGTATAAAACATTTGACTTTTCTACTCTTTAAACAAGTCTTCCCATTCCAAACTAAAGACAAATTTAACACAAATTGGTCTTATCTTGTTTCATAAAAAAGAAACGCTAACGCAGTTACAAATATATTTTGTTAGGAATAAATCGTACTTTGTAAAACAACGCTCTGATTAAAAAAAAAAATTACTATGAAACTGACATTATCAAGATGCTTGATTTCTCAAGTGACAACATTATGTTAAGTTTGGAGGACGTGTTTTTCAGCAAACAATCTGAATTCCCATGGAAACCGACTATGCTCTTCCTCTTACCGACTTGTTCCTTTATACATTTGAAGCTTTATACAGGAGCTTCTTTCGGAAAAAAATCTCATCAAAGATACCAAGTTTATAATATTGTACGCAAGACGCGTGTTTCGTCTACAAAAGACTCATCAGTGACCCTCGAATCAAAATAGTTACAAAAAGGTACAAAGATGAAGAACATTAAGGGTCAAAATTTCCGAAGGGTTTTACCAAATACAGGTAAGGTCATTTATTCCTAGGGTAGAAAAGCCTTTGTATTTCGAACAATTTAAAGTTTTGTTAACTGTTAATATTTATATAAATATGACAATGTCAAGGATAATTCATGCAACACAAAAGGAATGTAAAGAAGTTAGCATTATCCTTTAACTTCACGTTCTGCTTTACCGATGATAAATGAATAATTCTTGAGACTATCTTGAACCCATGTATTCCATGGAACTTTAAATAAAGGAATCAACATATACAGTTAAGACTGCCTCATTATTTGACTTACATCTAGAAATCTCTGGTAACAATGAGGGTAAGTTGAAAACAAACCTTTACGAAAAAGGAGATTATTTCAGCTTCTTAATTGTGAATTTTCCATTTCTATGTAGCAACATTCCAGCAGCGCATGCATATCGAGTATATCTCTCCCAGTAAGTATGAT